TGTGCGTTGTGCGTTGTGCGTTGTGCGTTGTGCTTTGTGCTTTGTGCTTTGTGCTTTGTGCGTTGTGCGTTGTGCGTTGTGCGTTGTGCGTTGTGCGTTGTGCGTTGTGCGTTGTGCGTTGTGCGTTGTGCGTTGTGCGTTGTGCGTTGTTGTTGTTGTTGTTGTCGTCGTTGTTGCTGTTGCTGTTGTTCTTGTTGGTGTTGGTGTTACCCCTGCAGCGTTTTTGCTCGGTTCCGTAGTGGCCGAAAATCGTCAAATCGGTGGTGTTTTCGCGTGTTGTTGCATCTCTCGGAGAAAAAAACACCGTAAATACCAATGTTTTTGGCGGGTCGGAAGCCCAAAACCACGGTATTTACGATGTTTTTTGCCTCTGGTAGTAAAAAGCACGGTATTTACAGTGTTTTTTGGCCAGCACCTAGCAAAAACACTAGTATTTACGGAGGTTTCACCATGTAGCAAAATGTGGTTTCTTGATCCGAAAAGAACAAAAATACTGTAAATTACAATGTTTTGAGTCTGCTCTTAGGGTGCGTGGGAGGTGTGGAGGGGGGGGGGGTACTAAAATGACTAGCAATCTCCTGAAGAATCAGGTAACGGGGCTGGCCGCCCTCCCCTTTACTTCGTAAAGTAAAACTCAAGGTAGCCCCTCTGGAGCTACCTTTCGTGATAATGTAGTAAACCCTGCCATACACCTACCATGACTGGGGATGGTTTATACAACCCATCAAGTTGTGATTTTGGGGACGCTTTATGACAACCATTGGGTGTACCACAACTCTGTGGTAAATCGGTGGTTGAGCCCCACGCATCCCAAAAAAAAAACGGGAAGATTCCCCTCAATGGAAGGTCCACCCCAGCAACGGAGTCCAAAAAATAGGAATCCACCTGCGAAGTAAAGGCTGGCCATTGTCCAACTTTCATCAACATGGAAAATGATGTTGTCTCAATTTTGCAACCCCATTCCATCCTATGCTTTACCACTCAAACTGTCATGTTTTCCACAAAAAAACGACCATAAACTCGGGGCCCATCCAAAAAAAATAAACAAAGCCACGTTCTAAGAACCATCCCCCTGTCTTCATCCTCGCCTTCCACTCCAGCAGACCTCCAACCCACACCTCAGCTCCGAAAGTCGCTCTGGTCAGTTTAACTTATCATCCCATGTGTTCAAAACATCAGAAATCTTTGCAACTAGTAAAACTAGTAGCTATGTTTACCTCCTTGATGACCAAACACGAATCAATCAGCCTCTCACAGAGTTCACCTCCAAAAACCTACCAAAAAAAACTCCAAAAACCTACAGAAAAAACACAGCAAAACACCACGTCAACTGCCATCTACCTGCCGGTCTCCCACTTAAACAAAAGCCCTCTCAGATCCACCTCCAAGCCATCGCGATGCGGTTCCATCTGCAACAGCAGTTTGGGACGTAAGCGTTGCAACACCGGGCCCTCCATTTCGAAGGACATCCTCAGCCGACGCAGCCCCAGAGCCCCAGGGCCCCAGAACAGGATGCCCCGAGATGGCCAAATGTCGCTGCCAAGTCGCTCCAGTAATCTAGAGTGGTTTGTACCTCGGACGAGATTCAGATTGGACCCAGCAGAAAATGTGATAGAAAGTGTGATGGGTCTGATGGGGTCCAACTTTTTTTTGCTTTCCTACCACCAACTCAACCCACGAAAGCTGCAGTTACCCCGCAGTGATCAAACTGGAAGATTTGTTGGGGCCGATGTTCATTCGGATGTTCCATTGCAAGATTGAGTGAGGGAGAGTGAAAAATCCATTCTGGCGGACTTCTCAAATACATGTATGTAGTGTAGTGCGTGTATATATACACACATATGCCGGCGAATGCCTCGATGCTTCTTGTGTCAAACTATATCCCCTGCTATTCTTGCCTATGTAAAAATCTGTGTATATATATATACATACATATGCATGTATATTTCTATGCAATGTAATGTATTGTAATGTAATGCAATGTTATGTTATGCAATGTTACGTTATGTTATGTTATGTTATGTTATGTATGTATATATCCCTATGCTTATCGATTAATATCTTAAAGCAATGTTGGAACATCAATGTATCCCATGCTTACTGATAAATATCTTTACTTGCATCTTCCTCTGTCATAGTTGTGCTGGTGAAAATATGTATTCTATCTTTTTGCTGGGCAATAACAACATGGTTTTGGGCCAAACCTCTTTGGGGCTAATCATCTATATTATCACATTCTGAATCCCATGTCTTCTGAAAATCACCCATTCATCATCCAAAAAGATAGAAAATGATTTTAAAAAACCGAAGGTAAGCTAGTGATGGTCTCTTTACTATTTTTGGGGCATCCTTTTTAGGGCTCAAAAAAAGTCACCGTAAGCCATTCATCCCAGCTCCACCAGTGATTCTCAGATACTTCGGAGGGATCTCACGGTACAGTTGATCATCATCTCACTGGAACTCACCGCGAATCTGGAACTCGCCTGTTTTGTGTCTCAAGAGGGGAAGCCCATGGACTGTGGAAGATGTTCCATGGGAAATTGCGTTTATAAATAATACATACATATATATATATATATATTATATATATATACATACATCACATGTGTATATATATATATATAGATATACATATACTATAGAATTTTTGGGGTGGTGTTCCAATCTCTCTAGCGGGGGCGAGCTCGCGGTTTCAGGTGAGTTGAAAAAGTCTATCGACCAAAAAACCTTGCTTTTAGAACCATTTTTAGTGGGGATGGAAGCAACAAGAATCGTGGTGGCTTGACCCAACCAGCAATGGGGATTCCACCAAGCCAAATGGGAGACAATTCATCGAAAAAAACACATTGTTTTGTGGCTTGTCAGCCACAAAACCTCTTGGATGAATCAGCGAAGTGAACGGTAAACACAATGGAGATGGCAAAATCGGTCCAGAATTTTAGGAGCACTAAGCACACGAACATCATCTCATCATCGCAACGTCATGTCCTATTGGTATGAATCAACCAGTAGGAAAAGGGAGTCGCCACTCCACTTGCTCCCCACGAACTCAAAACCGCACCAGGGCTTCGTGGCGACTTCGTAAATCTCAACTGCCCAATTTCTGATGAATCTTATCCAAATCTCAGTGAGTTGATTCATACAAGGTGGTGCCCCCACCTTGTTATAAGTTGGTTTATAACCCCATTAACTAGTTCGATATATCACCAACAAAAACCCATAGTTATTGGAGTTCTTTGCACCAACTTAGCTATCTAGTAATTTAACATAGCTATGGAAAATCACCATTTTTAATGGGAAAATCCACTATAAATGGCCATTTTCAATAGCTATCCAACGGGGGCACCTCCTTGTACCAACCAATGACATACCAATTTTCCACCTCCGCATGGCGGCGGCCTCTCCGGCTCCGCGTCCTCCGCTCCAGGACTCGACGGTCTCGACGTGATGCCAAGGGATCCTCAAAAAATCAACCGGTTCATCACGCCAGCGCTCCGTATGATCATCCCAGAACTTAATAACCATGGTTAATATGGTATATCTATCTATATATATCTATATATATATATGGCAGTGTGTCAAAACCAATAGTACCCCTGTAGTTCACATCAAAATAGCTGGGATTTATGGATGTGAATAACCCCCTAAAAATGGTATTAATAGGTATTGATCCATCCCCATGTGCGTGTGTGTGCTATAGATGTATATTTATGCAACATTATATATATATATAATTATATATATATATGTGTTTGTGAAAATGCTATAGATGTATATGAAACATACGCATGTATAGATGTTATACATGCTACAAAATGCTGTGTGTTTACATAATATACATATATATATATATATATGTACATGCATAAACATATGTAAAATGAAACAAAGCTCTGGATCATGAGCCAAATATGTATTGGCTTCTGACTTTCCTTCAAGGACGGTTTGTGAACCCATTTTGCCGCTGCAAAGGTCCCAACCAGAAGGTGAGGGAATAGTGACTCAACTCTGTTGACCAATGGTCAATAAGGCTAGCAGGTTGATTATTACTGTAGGGGATTGCTATTGGTGTTATGGATTGCTTATTGCTACTGGTTTTATCCGCAACTTCACGTAGACCCTGCCATGAATCACGGGTTGAAAGATATTACTCTTCACTACAAAAAATGTTCATGGTCTATGTTAATTTGCGGGAGTGTAATAGTTAGGAAGAGTATCAATCAAAGTAACCGATGGTTGATTCTGAGGAGATTCTTATTGGGGTTACCAGCTTTGGTTCACAAGCCAGGTCCATCCTGCGGTTCACATCTTGGTCGATTTTCTGCAGCCAAAGATCTTCATGTCCATGCCAAAGGTCAGTTGCTTCAGTCCCTCTTCAGTCCACAGATTCAAATGCTTCGCGCCCGAATGCCTGGGCCAGTTCTTGCCCCATTGAGCCATCCATGAGGGACCAATCCTTCTCAAAGATTTTGTCCCATCTCATAGTCTTGGATCTACTATCAGATATTCCAAGCAAAACAGTACATAAATATACATATCCAGTACATGTAATATCCTTAAACGCTAATCATCTTTAGATCATCAACAACACTATATATATATATATATACATATCATATATATACATATATATATATCATATCATATCATATATATTACATATCATATATACATTATTTCCTACAAATTCTCCAGCACCCCTTCCACCATCTCGCTGACTCTCCAACCAGTCACTCCAGGGATTTCGGCAGCACCGAGTCCTGCGACCAGTGGCCATCGAAGATGTCGGACAGCTCGTGGAAAAACAGGCGCGGCAGAAGGACATGATCCAAGGTCACCTCGGCCATTGGAGTCGGCCCAAGTCATAGGAAGGGAATGGCCCATGTAGACACATATATATATATAGCTATTAATAATGGAATAACTATATATATATAGCATTATATAGCTATTTATTAATAATGGGATAACTATATATATATATAACTATTATATAACTATTAATGTGATGATATGATGATTAATGGGAAAAAAAAACATTGACATATGGTGATTTGCCTGTCAAGCCATCGATGAAGCCATGGCCCAATCGATGATAGACATCCTTTTTGATTTGCCAAACTGAAAAATGGGGCCATAGAAAATTGCCATTGAGATAGGTGATTTTTACATCCTTTTTGATTTGCCGAACTTCACAATTTAAGGGATAATTACATATGTATATATATATATAACTCTTCGAGCTATGGGAAGCCAATAATTCATGGGATAATCAATGGAAAAGATTGGAAAAGCGTACAGGACAAAAAATGCTGTTGCGCCAAGACAAACACCCTCGTCCTCAAACGTGGAACAATCCCCTTTTTCAAATGGGGATTTTTACGGGAAAATCATCCAGCCACCAACCAACTTGATTACCAGGGGGTAATGGGAAATGAGCCTTGAAATATGGGACAATTATGGTACGAGTTGCGTTGTTCATAAATATAGTTGATCAGATGAAAGAGCGAATGATGGCAAGCCAACGGTTGATGGGGTGAACTCTGGGATCATCTTGGAAGAATTGTGGAAAATATTGTGGGAATGATGATGAACCATGCTCAAAGAAAGTGTTTGTTATCCAATTCAATTGGGGATACCCTGTAACTTCGGTCACCTACGAGCAAATGGGATTGGTGTTGAATGCGAGTTTTTATTGGGAACAAAAAAAATGGTTCCAAAAAACAGGCATTTATCAGGCAAAAGAGTGAAGATCAAAAATGATCAGCTGCAAAGATTGACCGTGTTGATGCCCAAGAACCAACCAGGGGAGCTGCAATCGCCAGAATGTGAGTATGGCACATGTTTGCTCCCTCCAAAGACCGCAACAAGTGAGACACGTGATATGATAGGGACATCATCAAAGCGCCAAGATCCAAGAGCGAATCTTTGGGGATGGGTTGGGTACCGTTGGGTACCTGAAAAATTGGAAGATTTACAGGTTTACTGAAAAGAAGTCATGGGCAGTCAGGTTGGACATACATCGGTGACCCATCGAAACATCAAAGGTATCAAGGGCTGTGCCCCTGATTTCCAAAACTCCAAAGAATGCCCAGGTGAACAGCCCAAAAATATGAACAGAATGGAGTGAGTGACCAAGTTGGGATGTTCATTTACACGGTCTAGGCATCTGCTTGCTAACTTCTGACCCACGTCCATCTTTTTGTACTCACCGAGTTTGTCTGTTTGTGGAGCTGTAGTAAGTAAAATATCCACATGTTTGATGGTTCTTTTGAGAAAATACACATTTTATCTTCCAGCAACCAGCCAGAATGGGTCCCCTCTCAAAACCGACAAAGAAGAATGCTGGGATTTTTTTTTCAATAGATCCTCAAAGCTTCCATCAACCAACCACCTCCCAAACACAAACCAAACTTTTAATCCCATCATCCAGGTATCAACTGCCACACCCCCAAACCAAAGCCCTGTAATGTCATGTACTGGATCTCGTCATGCCTTGGGATCAAAATGATGTAGGGGTATTTCATATTTTACTGGCTCTATATCCCTATGTTGTGATGTTGAACTTCATTTGTGGTGGTAAAATGCTGGTTACATCACCATCTTCCTTTCAACCAATTCTTCAGATACCCCACTTGAAGAAATTGCCGGCCACAGCATCACCACGTTTCCACGAAATCCCCAAAGGTAAATCCCACCATGTTGAACCATTCTGAAACCATGTTAAAACATGTTAAAACCATGTTCAAATGACCATGTAGTTAATTGATTTACCAAACTTAAAAATGGTGAATTGTCCATAGCTATCTTAGTCTACTCCCCATTTCTTCCATAAACTCCCCCATTTTTCCAAGTGACATATGCCTCTTCCATGGGCCGCTCTGTCGCCGCGAGCCGGGCCCGGGCCCCGGCCCCGGCGGCCCCGGGAGCCGCCCCCGGGGGGGCCGACATTCGCGGGGGACGGGTGGGACGCTCGGCATCTAAGGCAGAGAAGCCCGGGAGTGGTTCGCTACTGGGCCTCAGATCATCTCCACCATAGAATATCTGGAGGTTTTCTGAGTCATGGCACCGGCAAGAAACATCAATTTTTTAGATTGCAATTGTCCATTATAAACCATCGATTTTAAGGGGTACCCCCATTTTGAGAATGCCTCATATGGGAATGATGGAGATAATTCTCATGATGGTACATCCCATAATATTTGTATCATTGGGATATAAACATTTTTTGTAATGGGCATGATGGGAATATCAAAAAAACAAAAAAGGAATTCGAAAAAATGATGACATTGTGGGCTGTTTTATAAGGAGACTATAGTCTGGAGATCATATGTCATTTGGATTATCTCCACACGACTAATTATTATAAGGCTATTTGACGGGGAATAAGAATTTGTACATAAAATAGATATCCCCAATCTCAAAAATGCAATATGAAAAAGTATATATACCCCATGTATATTCGAATGATAATGGGTATTACAATTGGTAGTATATATTTGGGATAATGGAGACCTGCCCTCAGTTTGGGGGGTTGGCTTTGGTAGGATGGCATTGTTTGTGGCCGTTGGGGATTTTTTTATTGGGATATAATTAATGCTATGGCTTCATTGGGATAGAATTCATGGCTTCATTGGTATCCCTGGTGTGATCTTTCCTAGGTCCCAGGTTTTTTAATGGGATGCAATGAAGTGGATACATCATCCAACAATGGGCTATAGCCCTGGCAATTTTAGAAGGGACGATGATGATCAACCGGTGGAGGGATAGCCTATTCTCGACGATCCAGTAGGATAAGAAAAAATGGATGAGATGAGAGACTTCTTGTCAGCCAAAACTATATCTTCCTTACCCACAATGGAACGGGATGTTTTTTCCCCAAGCCAAATGTTGGGGATTTTTTTCAACCATATATATATATATGTATATATCTAATTTCTAGTTATTTTTTTATTCATTTATTTAGTTATTTATTTATACTATATATATATATGTACATGGGTTTGTCTTAAAATAGGCTACCCCTAAGTCCATTGGTGAATCATCCCTAATTGATCCCTAATGAATAAATTTGGTATTTTCCAGGGGCAAACGTTTGCCCATGTTCAAGTCCCTTTTACCCATTCTAAACAGGAGGATGATGGGATTTGTTGCCTGACTAAAATGTTGGATGGATGAGAGGGATCTAACTCTATGCCAAAACTGCAGCCAGGGATGTTTTTTTCAAACAAGGTGATTTCTAGGTTTCCCGTTGATCCAACCAAAATTACCCAAATGTTGGTTGAATCCTTACCACTGAAAGTGATGTGACTTTCACCAACGGATCGTTTCCTGGTTGTTTGTTTGCCAGCAGTTGAAGGGGGAACGGAGTTCACACAACAAAAAAATGTGTGTCTATTTGCCAATGATGTAAAACTTGGCAACCCCAAGTTTAGGAAATCAAATAACCAGTTGCTTGAAATGACGGACAGGCTAGAAAATCCCAAACCAGGTGCATGGAAGTATTTCAACCCCCTTGAGTCAGACAAGAATTTTCGGGGGACGATCATCTAAAACGATGAGTGTTTCAGCAAAAAGATCAACAACCACCCTCCAGGTGCTTTTGTTTTCCAGTAAAAAATGGATCAAAATGGTCCATTGACTTCGATGATTTAGCAAACTATCCACAAAAAGCCACGTCGTCAGTTGAGACGCTCATCATAGAAGACCGAGGTCAAGCAAGCCAGGACGGCAACTGGCCCCCAGGTTCGTACCTGAAGGGAGGCCCAAAAGCCCACGTCCGACGTCTGGTTAAACGCCAGGAATAGAGTGGAGATGTCTTTTTGAGAGGAGATACAACATTTATACAACCATACTTGGAGATTTAGGATACCATTGAGATAGTTCACAATTATCACAACATGTCACAACTGTTTATGATTGTAACCGGACTTTCGCAAAGAAAACGCTCGCAAAAATTGGAGAAGCACATGATCAGCAAGCTAAACATCAGACTCAGGGTGGCAGGGCAAGCTGTAGATGTATTTGATATCGATAAAGTCCAAAAAGATAAGAGACCGGAGAAGTGCACAATACCTTCTGCAATCCCCTTCTTGATTGGTTGATATGGCCTGATATGGGTGTCCATCTTGGGTAAGAATAATCCTAATTAAGCAAAATTGGTAGAATCCACTGTATGTAGCTATCAACCAAGAGGCGGTTTGGTCATTGATCAAGCAGATCTATGGTGTGTCTGTGAGGCTCCTGGTTTGAAATCGAACCAATTGATGAGTCAGCTTATACCCAGATTACAAGCATATTATACACTATATATTTGGTAACCGTCCTGCTTAGTAGGTAGAGCCAGTTGTCGAATCATCACATTCCCAGTTAAAGCCAGAAATTGGGGTTAGTATACCCCATTTTCAGACACCAAAAAATCAAGTTGGTTGTATATCATATATCCCATGATATTCCATGAAACATCCCATGGAATATACCCTTCATTGCTGTATATCCCATGAAAGCCACAACGGGCACCTGCTTCCGTCGGCTCATCGCTCACGCGGCACGCCACGGCTCGATCTATGGCCCCTACCCTCCTAACTACCAGTCGAAGCAGGGGATTCCAAGATCTCTAGGCTGGATGTCTGTCGAAAATGTGGCTTTAGGATTTAAGATGCTTTAAGGTTTATGATTACTGACCATCTATTTCTTTGTTTCCGAAGTCACTGCTGCGAAATGTGGGCCAAATGTGGGCCATCTGATGGTGCCTAAAATCGCCGGCCCCGTTGATTCTTGAAGGGCTGTCAGGAATTGCTAGGTATCTGATGGTATAGGCCATTTTTTGATCCATCTAGTCAATGAGTCAACAACTGAATCTAGCCATTTTTTGTCATTTTCTTTCATCTGAAAGATCCTTTTGTCTTGGTTGCCATGATCGCCACGGATCGTCAGGAGTGGCTCGTTGGACCTGCAGCTGAGGTCCAACCCTGGTGCTTGGTCCGCAAAAAAGGGGGGGAAGGCAAAAAGTTCCTTCAAAAAGTACCGGAACACACAAAGAGATCTGCAATCTATTAGATTCTATTACCCTACAATTAACCGTTCGACCCTGCCAGATAGGGCTTGGAAGATGTGTTTCCACTAAAAATTGTTTTTTTTGCAGGGTCTGAGTCTATGTTAATTTACCAGAGGGTAGATCTATTGATACTGGCGAAGCACCAGCAAATCTGTGAAGCCACTCTGCACTGTTACAGTACAAATCGGTGGTCCATCGAAACACCCAAAGCAGAAATGACGCTGTAAACCCAATGGTAATAATAATAACAATAGGAAGAAGAAGAAGAAGAAAGAAGAAAGAAGAAGAAGAAGAAGAGTAAGAATCATCATCATCATCATCATCATCATCATCATCATCATCTAATCATCATCATCATAATAATAATAATAATCCCCTATTCTACCAGAAAAACCGATGGTATAAACCATGGGATAAATACATATAATACAACAACCCCTGGGTGAATGGATGGTATAAACCATCCAAAAAATGGCAGGCTTTCTGGCAACGTTGTGATCGCCAGCCTTATCAGCACACTCGCGGCGTGAAGGCCACTTGAACGCCACTCCCGCTTCTCCTCGCACCACTGGGGTCTTGATTTCACCGTGAAAATTGTACAGCAACCAGAAAATAGAAAATGTATGAAAATGTTAGTGATCAGGAACCTTCATGTTTTTGTTGGACCTTTCTCTGCGGGGTACTGTAGTATAAAATCCTAGCGAAGTCTGTTGAAGTTGCAGCAAAGATTCAACGAATTCGCATATCTGGCCGCCAAGCAATCATGTGTGATGTGAAAATCATCTATAAATTGGATATTTATAAAAATGGGCTTTAAAATCGTCTATAACCCATTATAAATCCACGTGGATGTTATCAACGAGATTTTCCAGTGTCTCAACTGTGGAGATTCCCAGTCCGATTTCTCCCTGGGTGCTACTTATTGTCGGGCTTCCAGAGTCGTCCCTACCTTTTTAGAGCGGATCACATGGCTTTCACCTTTACTATTGTGGAGGTTTCCTGAAACAGGACCCCCAATCATCATCCAGCTATTAGATTAATTAGATTGGGTATTTTCCGTGAAATAGTCACCATCCAGCTATTGGGGATCCCCCATAAAAATGGAAAACCCCTGAAAAGCGCCATGCATGCTGGTGTTTTTGGGGTGTAGCACTGCTGACTATTTTATCGTTGATCCATTGCTTCTGGGATGGTCCATCTGATAGTTTTTTAGCTACCGAAAAGGTATGTTTGATCAAAAAAAATGCATGGGCCACCATTTTAAAACACCAAAAAGTGACCTTCACCCCCCCCAGCTTCAATGGATATGATTAAACCACTCTAGTTCCCGGCTCACAGAATCTTTCCACACCTCTGTGCGTCCCCAGCGCGTATGGAGCCGCTTGGGTTCGCTGAACAAGTGGCCGCAGGTGGAAGCGACCCGATGAAATCATTTTTTTTCCATAGTGGCTGAATCCATTGAATGATTTGCCGCTATGAATGGTCATCAGATCCAACCTGAGTATTCAGGGAGTTTCATAGGGGAATGACCGGAAATACCTGAGATCCTTTGCGATGTTGGTGTAATTCCCCTGACCCAAACAGCATCATCTACACTGAAAACCAAGAATGGATGGGATTAAGTTTTCAGTTCTGGATATCGTTGATGCTTTCTAAAGGCACTAAACACCTACATCACCTACGAGCTTTTCAACATGGATCCAAATGTGACCAAGATTCGGTCAGTAGTGAGATCAGAAATGGAGATAATCAGCCACTTGATACTGCAATAAGGATATATCATGAGGTATCATGGGGCAAGTGGATATGTGATGGGGTAGATCAATGGATACAAAGTAAGTCAAGCTATGTAGGAAAGGTTTCATTTACCACTAATTTGGGATTTGGATTTTACTTGTTTATCCTTTTTGTGAGTTGCCACATATCATCCATAGATGAATCATAGATTCACTCACCTTCCCGGAAACCATGGTGTAGGGAAAACCACAACATTTGGGACCATGGGGGTGTTGAGTATGACCGGGATTTATGTCATGTTCTGGCGAAATTCATGGGGACAAAAAATGTAATCAACAGTCCAGAGATCTCCAGCCCCTACCATGGGGAATCAGCAGCACTTTTTCACCGTGCCACACAGGCGCGAAAAGGCCTCCACTCAGTGCCTGATGGAGGAAACCATGCGCTGGGTGGTTCATCCTACATGGTATCCTGGAGCAAACTTCCAATATACCCTCTGGTAATTTAACATAACTATGGAAAATGGCCATTATTAATGGGTAAATCCACTATTTCTATGGCCATTTTCAATAGCTATTTTGACATAACCAGAGGGTAAATTCATAGGCAACTTGACCCCCCCTATCTGGCATCCTCATAGGCAAGGTCCCCCACCTCCCAGCTGACTCAACCGTCCATGCCGTCAAAGAAATCGAAGATCGTCATGGACGTCTCCTGTGCCAGCAGGACCTATGCCATGCAGCATAACCGTCATTTTTTATAGGACCTAATAAAATTGCCAATCTTAGATATCCGGCAAAAAAAAAAGACTTAGCTGTTTAGTAGATATAATATATATATATATGGTCCCGTGTCCCGTGTTCCCACCCCCCCCCCATGGGATGGGGGGGGGGGTATGATGCCCCTGTGGTGGTGTATATACATACATACATACCTACATACCTACCTACCTACCTACCTACATACCTACGTACATACATACATACATACCATTACATTACCTTGCCTTACATTACCTTACCTTACATTACCTTACCTTACATTCCATACATACATACATACATACCTACCTACCTACCTACATACCTACGTACATACATACATACATACCATTACATTACCTTACCTTACATTACCTTACCTTACCTTACATTACCTTACCTTACCTTACATTACCTTACTTACATTACATACATTACATTACACACATACATATACATTACATACACATACCAACATACATACATACAACATATACCAACATACCAACATACCAACATACCAACATACCAACATACCAACCATACCACCACCACAGGCCACAGGGGGGGGGGGGACCAGAAGAACCATACCACCACCACAGGCCACAGGGGGGGGGGGGCCAGAAGAACCAGACGATACTGTCCACCCATACCCATTGGGGGGGGGGGGGGGGGGGGGGGGCCAACGCTGCACCATATATAATCCCATTGATACCAAAAGACTAAAGGATTAAACTACCCATCCAAGATTGACCTAGATAAGAATTCATAGCCATTCAGAACCATTAAATGTGTACTAATCATCATATATCATCAGTCATCACCATTGATTTTTTTGGACAGCCACAAATAGTCACTAGTAAATAATCATCAGTTAACATGGAAACAATCATCAACAACCATTAACAACCATGACCACTAATACATAATCATTAATCACCATTAATATCCATTAATAACTTATAATTTATCATAACTTCTATAATAACCATTGACACAATCAATTACATTCCCATTCGGCAGTCTAAACATGGACGCTGCGCTAAAAACGCGAAGGTTCAGCTCAAATTGAGCCCGTTCAGCTCAAATTAACCCCGTCCCATCTCATGAAACACTAGTTGGATGAAACCGGTTTCCCTGCTGATTATCATAATCCCCAGTAAATTAGCTAGTGTCCCTAGTTTGTAACCAATGAACCAGGGTGCATGTTACATGATGGCTCCTGCTTGGCGAAAAAAACTGGCTCATCTATGGGTAAACGTTCACATCTCTGAGGCCTCCACACCTGAAAAAAGTGCTGCAGGTTTCATCCAGCAGGTTAGTTGTATGTCGCCAAATTTGAGGACTTGCAGATTCTTCAGGATTTGTCCAGATAAATGAAGGTCATGTGGTAAAGCCTAAACCCTAAACCATCCCCAAATTCACCATCTTTATGGGTATAAACCATGCCCAAATGGTAGGTTTATATAGGTTTATGGCATTGGCTTGCCAACACTACTACCCAAAACCCTACCCATCTGGATAAGCATGGTCTTTTGGCTAGAGATTTTCTGTAGATCCTTTGGAGCAAAGAAAAGCCGATCAAACTCCCAACGTGCCACGCCCCTGAATCCACGGGTCAATCATTTTCTCATTGTGGTCATAAGTTGATGGCATACCCCACAATCAAACCCAGGTCATACTGGTTGGTGATTTTAACCATCGTGAAAAAACATGGAGTTCGTCAATGGGAAGGATGACATCCCATATATGAAATGGAAAAGAAAAAATTCCATGGTTTGAAACCACCAACCAATAATAATATTGTTGGTTATTATTGGTTATAAATCCCATGACATATCTCCTTTATCCATTTTTGGGGTGTGGTTGGGGAATCTATTGGAAGCTCAGTTCAGCAGTTCCGGCTCCGGAGTATCATCCCATCCAAGTTTCCCACCCCAAAAATCACAGGGATTACCCGGCCTGGTAAACATACAAAAAGCTATTGAACATGGCCATTTATAAGTGATTTACCCATTAAAAATGGTGATTTTCCATAGCAAACTGTTAGTTTACCAGAGGGTATAATGATGCATGTTCCCATTAAGAAAACACCCAAACATCCCAATGGTTCCTCTGCGTTTTCCCTGGCTGCCGGAGAACTTGCAGCCTCTGTGTCCGCACCGAGGAATGTGTCAGGGCTGCGCAACACACCAACGCGGCCGCTTTGGAAACCCGTGACATGAAAACATGGTGACATTTAACCAGCAAAAATGTGGATTTGCATGGTTTAACGTAAACCATCCTGGTATGGCACGCCCAAAAATACGAAATTTTGGGATGATGATAATGATTGAAGAAAATATTGGAAAATATGGAGAAAAAAAATATGATGAAACATCCCGAGTGATAATGTCCAAAATCATTGACCATCAGGATAGGTAAATACCAAGCATGACCATTTTTGGTTGGTCTTTAGGTAACCCATTTGTGATCCACTCCACAAAATCACATGGGGATGTGTCTCAAATCATCTGGTTTGTGCATCAAAAACTCAACTCTGGGGTCCCTAAACCTCATAATTGTCTCCGGATTGGTGGTTTCAACCCCTCTGAAAAAGATTAGTCAGTTGGGATGACTATTCCCACTATATATATGGAAAAATAAAAGCCATGTTCCAAACCACCAACCTGTCTCTCATGACATCCCATGCCGAGACGTCTGCCAAGCCTTCGCCGGCGTCTCGTCTTCCGGAGCTTCCACCTCCGCAGCGGCAAGGGAATGCCTTCAATTTAGTGTCGAATTTGTTGAACAGCAAAACTGTTACCCTCTGGTAATTTAACATAGCTATTGAAAATCACCATTTTTAATGGGAAAATCCACTATTAATGGTCATTTTCAATAGCTACGTTAAATTACCAGAGGGTAATTGTTGTCAAGCAAAAAGTACCGGCACCAAGAGCAAAATAGATTGGGATACAATCAGCACAAACATGGGCTCAATCAATACAGCTTGGGGAGAAAATCTGTCACATTACGCGAAAAACGCCAGAAAATGGAAACGCGTTTTTCGTGCTGGGGTCATCATCCCTTTCTGTTGCCCTTTCTGTTGCAAAAGTCTGTAAACATGGAATCCCCATACCTCTCAAAAACATGATTTGGCACATAAAAATATTCGCCATATGTGTATGCACATATAATGAATTTTCAGATTTTTTAGTGTGTTCATGCCTTAGTGCTTTCATTTTGTTGCTGCTTCTCGACCCCTTTTCTTCCAAGCTTTTGCTGCTGTCGGGTGCCTGCTCTGCTGGAACTACCTAATCATTACTTACGGTATCACATGTTTTATTGTCCCCATTGTCATCTTCATAAGTCTAACCATTCTGCGCCCCAACCCCATTATCACTATCACCATCAGCATCTTCACCATCAACATCATCATGCTCATATTCAGCAGCCGTCTCATTATCATATTCACTTCACCCTTGCAAGACGTGCATGTTGGATGAGTCTTGAAACAGCAATTTTAATTATTGCGCATGAATCGTTTTGGAGTGTGAGTTTCATCGCCTGATATCTTTTTGAATTTGGACAATGAGAATTCATAATTTTCAGGCTATAAATACACTTCATCCCAAAAACTTCATCTGGGTGACAGGTATATCATCACGGGTGAACCCGGGGCGAGGTGTTAAATCAATGGAAACTGCCCCAGTAGTTAGAAGGCAAACTTCTGACAGCTTTTGGCTCTTTACTTTGAGGATTGAAGTTGGACCCACTAGGCGTGCTGGGCGTAGCTCATGTGTCTGATCTTTGCGTAGACGGAGGTTTTGCTGCACCAAAGTGTCTGCAAGCATCGTAAAGTGTAAAATGTGTCTGCGATCTTCTGCGCTTAACTAACAGCGAAAGCTGTGTAAAAGCTTCCTCGTGTAAAAGCTTCTGCGTGTAGATATGTTTGCGCGTAAAGCTTCTGTGCTTACAAATATTTGTGTGGAAAGCTTCTCTGTGTAAAAGCTTCTGTGCGTCAGAGCTTTTGTCTGTGTCAAAGCATCTGTGTATAAGAACGTTCTGTGTGTAAAAGCTTCTGTGTCTAAAAGCTTTTGTGTGTCGAAGCTTCTCTGTGTAAAAGCTGTCTTCATGTAAAGGTGTTTGTATGAAACAACCTCTCTGTGTAAAAGGTTCCGTATGTAAAAGCTTTTCTATTCAAAAGATTCTGTATGTAGAGGCATCTGCGTTTTTTTACGTGTCAAAACAAGGGATGTCAAGAGCCAGAAATACCAGGAGTGAGATGTCAAGAATCAGAGGTCAAAAAAGAGAAGAGACTGAAGAGACGTCAAGACAGAGGGGCTTCAAGAAGAAACTGTCAAGAGAAAGGGCTGCTCTTGGCGCAGAGATGTCCTCTGGAAAATCAGAGAAAGGGGAGACATCAGAACAGGATGTCAAGAGAAAAAGATGTTGAGGAGAAAGAAACCTCCAAACTCCAAACGAAGAGGTGGCACCAAAAAGAGTTGCCACAAGAAAGGGCCGTCAAGAGATTGTCGGACGTTTTCGGATGTCAAGAGAAAGAATGTCCGAAAGAGATGTCAATTTTCGATGTGACTATGGCTCAAAATTTCCGAGGAAAAACCACAGGATGTTGCTCTATTTTGAGTACTGGTTGGTGGTTTCAACCCCTCTGAAAAAGATTAGTCAGTTGGGATGATGACATTCCCAATATATAGAAAAATAAAAAAGGTTCCAAACCACCAACCAGATAGTTACTATGGTTTGTAAACCACCAACCAGAGTATTAACATGTCATAACCATCCAATGATTGGCTAAACCCCGGGTCGGCCTGGACCTGCGTCGCCTCCTGGCGTTGATGGAGTGATTCCGATCGTATCGGAAATGATGGAAATGGAAGTTTGCCCAGGAAATTGAAAGATAATAGGGTTCCACCATAAAATGTATAAAATGTATAAAATGATAATAAAATGTATAAAAATGTTCTCTTCATCCAAGTCTGCGACAACAGGCTTGTATAAGCAGATTCAAGCACGAACATGATGGTTTCTCAATAGAACTCGTTTGAGGTACACTGATGCCCCAATTGTTTCATGTACCCACATCACATATGTCCCTGATTTCACTGATTCTAGCCCATGACATGTGCTATTGACTGTTGACAGCATGATCAGCAGAGGTTCGTGGAAATGGTTTGTTGTGAACTAATCAGCTGACCATCCCGTGTATAAATGTTGATACCCGGCTGGTCATATGGATTTCTCTGAGAACCCAAAAGAAAAATGCCGGGGAAAAAACCATGAGGATCAACTCCATGGGAGTTCGGGACAAAGAATCTTCAAGCCATAGCCGCCATAGCCTCCCACTTTTCCCGGAGGAATGCGTTGAAAACTGGTAAAAAAAACCATGTTTTTTTGTGATTTTCCCCTCGAATCCATCCATGGACATTCATCCGGGAAATTTGATGGTTTTTCACGCATTCCTGAACATGTCCGGGGCATTTTCTATGGTTAGTTGGACAGTGAAATCCCATGTTTCATGCTTCAATCCCCATTTTTCAATGACTGATTACCTGATGATTTGGGCTGCCAACAGCTGCCAACAGCTGCCAACAGCTCGTTATGCCTCTGTGGCAGGCGGCTGCGAGGCAACACCTAGCAGCTTGAAGGGAAAAACTGCAGGAAACCCCGGGTTTCAAGCCCTCAAATTACACCACCCCCAGAAAGAAGATGTAGAATCCTGAAAAATCTCACCAAAATAAAGATAAACTTAATAAACTTGCCCTTATCGATCTTTTTGGAAGGTTACTCATACAGGATGTTAGATTTTCAGTTCCACCGTGGGAGCTCTTGCCACCAGCGAGTGGAGTTTCATCGACTCAAATGAGCTGCCCTGATCACTTTTTGGATGCAAGTTTCAAAACGCAAATCATTGGGTTTTCAAGGAATTGCACCAAAAAAAATCAGATATATATATATATATATAAAGTAATTTTGTAAACATAATACTTGGTTGAAATCCAAGCCATTTCTGGGACGTCAGAATGAAATTCAACAGTTCTGGGTTGATCACATTAGATTTATATAACCTAACACTGGTCCAAAAGCTGTCGTTCCATTGAGCCGCAAATAAAATGTGACCCTGTCAAAGCACAAAATGTGCCATGGATACTTATGTCACTCCATATTTATAGACTAGTGTGAAGAATTCAAGAAGAAGATGCTTGAAGGTGCATCAAAACCTCCAAGAGCTACCCGGCCTGGTAAACATACATAGATAGCTATTGAAAATGGCCATAGAAATAGTGGATTTACCCATGAAAATGGTGATTTTCCATAGCAAACTGTTAGTTTACCAGAGGGTTCAATACCGACCAGGTGGGATTTTTGACTTGGGAAACCCCGACCGTAGATTTAATCTATGGTGCCTTACCCGACCTAGATTTAAAAAAAAAAAAAACAACAACAAAGGATAGCTAAGTTGGTTTAGGTTACTGGATTCACTATAGGATTTGTGGTAGACATATACATATATATAGATATATATGATATATCGAACTAGATCAACGAGTCATAAACCAAGAAACATGTTCACTCGGGGCACCACCATCTTCTGCTGAATAAAATCTCAGAGCTCCACGTTTTGTCTATGATAAACCCATCTTTCTTCAGAAAGTCACGCCACGGGGGCCCCATTTTACCACGTTTCTGGAAATACATGGAAATACAGCAAAACGTAAGATGGGACATTTGCGTGGATTGTTTTGCAAGTCGTGCAATATCTCACATCATAATATGACAGAACCATATGTTCTTTAAATGTTGTTTGTTTATATTTCAGAAAGGGACGTTGTGGAGAGCTGGAAAGAGGAATGGACACATATGGGTCAAGTGTTGGATTAATATATTGCTACTAAGTTTTCTGCTTAGTTTTTTGTTTTCCTTTCTTGCTTCTTCCTCGAGACCTCTGGAAACCCTAAAACTATGGTTTTTACCTTCTAGACCCCTCCCTGAGGGGGGGTGGCAAAAAAAAAATATATATATATATAGTTTGTTTTTTCTCTTTTTTTTCGACCCTCCCCTCCGACCCCGAAAGGCTGCTACTTCCGAGAGACCTGAAGACTTAGCTTTCTTTACGCTCATCAATTTACTATCTGACCAGATTGACTGGCCAGATTCAATTCGATTCATTCCAGCCGGACGTTCTAATCGGACAGTTAGACTGACCGTCTTGCCGGACCATCTAGCCGGACGTCGCTCCGGACAGTCTGGCTGAACGGTCTATGCACTGCTTACGAAAAGAAATCGCCACCATCAGCTAAAAAAATATAGTTTTGAAAATGTTGCAGACTTATTTTCCTTAAACTAATGCTAATTAATTATGTTCCTTAAACTAATGCTAACTACAACCCATCTCATCTTGGATGAGGCCTTTCCATCATGTGTTTATAACATGTTTTTCTTCAATGCATAGCAAGGACATGCTAAGTAACAAAAAGCATTACACTACTTCTTGGGACCATGTTGTCCAACTACAAGGGTCATCGCATGATATTCAAGAATGGCAAGAGAAGAAACAGTATGAAGCAATGAAGAGCAATATATATATATGCATGTATATACAGTATGTATGTATGTATGTATGTATGTATGTATGTATGTATGTATGTATGTATGTATGTATGTATGTATGTATGTATGTATGTATGTATGTATGTATGTATGTATGTATGTATGTTATGTATGTATGTATGTATGTTATGTATGTATGTTATGTATGTATGTTATGTATGTATGTAGTTATGTATGTATGTAGTTATGTATGTATGTATGTATGTATGTATGTATGTATGTATGTATGTATGTATGTATGTATGTATGTATGTATGTATGTATGTATGTATGTATGTATGTTCACGATAACCATCATCTATTTAACAGAATACTACATTCATCATGCCCAGAAAATATATAACATATTTATTGGGGTAAGTAAACTTGAATAACTATCTACAGTCGTCCCAGGGAAGTAAGCAGCTATCATATAAGTTTCATAATTGGCTTGGCCAATATACTCTCATTGAGGTCTTTGGGTAGACCACCTCTACATATTGGTCAGTTTAAGCTTGATTTCAAACAGAGCCACCGACAGTGCTGCAACTTATCAATGCAACAGACACAAGATGGCAACCCATGACATAGTGCAATGATTACCTATATTGATTATTGCATGGTGATTCAAAAGATAGCTGGCTAAGGCCCTTGCTAGTATCTTCACCTTATAGTATCATTCAGAAAATGCATTTAAAAAAAAAAACAGTATTTTTTCCTTGGTAAGCAGGTGTTAGCATAGGTTTTTGCAATCGTCCCGTTTCACTGTTATGATAGAGCTGCTCCTTGCCATGGCTGTATAAATCCATATCCTTGGCGATATTTTCTGTTTTGATTACACTGTCCACAGGCTAACCATCTTGGTTGATCAGTGCATTCACACAGATGTTGATTTCAGCATTATCTTTCCATATTCTTTTCATGCTGGCTGGAAAACATTTGCATAGCACAGCATGAAAATAACAGAATACAACTCACTGCCCTGCAGGCTATTGGCAGTGAGGGACATACGTGACATATGCAATTTGACAAACCATGATGATCTGTGTAATGCATATGTATGCTCTCTGCTGGTGCAGCTTGTGTGTGCAGCTTGGATGTGACACTATTGATCGGTTCACAGTTTGATTCCATGGCTGGCTTGCAAGAGAAAGATGTACATGGCAATGCCAAGTTCAGGTTGACTCCACTGACAAGAGCACAAATGCATACAAATTTGATTGCCACAGGTTTTTGCATCAGACTAAGTTTCTGGAATGGGTGTGCTTGTGATGGGTTGAAGATGATCACTGCTATGTGCATGTAAGATTGATTTTGCCATGATGTTCTATGATTGGGTACAAGTGATCTTACATATTCCATGTGCACCAAAACGGCGGAAAACATGGGTTTGCACTGTGTATACGTGAGAAGAGTTATTTGCTCCATGCCTTTCCATGATCACTCTTAGTTTGTGATGGAATTTGCAATTGATTACAAGACTTGGTAGAGCCATTGAAATCTGACCTCACATGTGTGTTGTTCATTTGTGGCCCCTGTGATTCATGCCAACTATGTTGATTCACATTGGAGAATCCTGGGGCAAAACCTGAGTAATCTTGTGAGGCTTTAACCTTTGATGTAACTTTTGCAACTACAACTGCTTGCATCCCCTGCAATGTGACAAGGCTGTACTTCAATGTTTGCTTCTAGAAACCACCGCCAAATCTAAGCAATAGAAATAACAGGTGTATGAAAAATTGCTATGGTGATGTCAAAACGGGCACCTGTTTAACATATAGGTTCACATGTTTATTTCATTAACCATTCTTGGGTATTGAAACGCAAGGGTGTTCTGTATATACATATGTTTTTGTCTATAATCATATGAAGAGACAAATACTGATTTGTTGCTACTTGCCATGGGTCTACTTATATAATCTGCTTTGGTGAAAGAAGAAAACTGTTTGGAACGGTGGATATGGGCCCTACCTCCACCCCTTGTTTGCTTTTTTTAACTTTACAGAACCAAATTAAATACAAAACAAATAACAATGCAACTAAAACAAGTAATACAGAAGATATTGAAGAATATCAAGAAAAAAAGGTTATGAGTATAAACAAACATAAACTATCAAAAAACATCACAAAACACTGTAAACATGGGGCCCACAGCGTTACACTCTCCTTTTCTTGGTTCCCCCCTACCAGGTTACCTCAACCAACCCCCGGTCCTTGTAACGCAGCTCTGGCCCGTTTAAAGCCACTCGATTTTTGTGGCTCCGCCTTAGGCGAAAAACCAAGGTGGAGATGTCTTTGTGCATGACCATGCTTATCTATAGTGTATATATTACCTATATGTTTATTATATATATATATAGTATCATTATAATCATATATAACTATTATGTTTTGGAGTCTTGGCCATTTCAGTGGTTGTCTCTTTCTTTTTGCCTCGTTTCAAAATTTGCGTTACCCCCTGGTTCGGTTTGTCGCAATTTCCCAATTTCCCAGCTGGCCCTTGCGAAGAATGATGACAGGCTGGGACTCAACTCCGAGTCTGAAAATGATGGGGAAAAAAAACATGGTGAAAACCCTAACCCTCCTGGTCTGATCCTCCTGAAATCCCCATTGAAAACGGTCATAAATTGATTGCCTCAATTCATCCCCTGCGGAATCGATCCGAATCGATCTGTGTCTTTGATGGTCTCCTGGCTCTTGGGGTCATGGCTGTCTTCGGTGCCTTGCTCTTCCCCCAGCCTTTGCCTTTCGCTCTACCTGCGGGCGGTTTTTCTTTTTAAGTGATCACCATGTGGGGTTCCTAAGTCATGGAGATACCGCCAATTCATCCAAGTCATTGGACCAATATATATATATATATATATTATATACTATATATATATATATTGTACTATATATATATATTATACTATATATATAAATATATATTACTATATACATATTAATATATCATAATTATATCGTATTGAAAGCCATAGTGACTTGGGGATCCCCCATTTCAAGAAGTCCCTACTTCCAGCCACAACTCATCCACCCATCGACCAACGGCCTTTGAAGGCCTCCGGCTTAAGTTGCGGCTCAAGTTGGATGAACTCTTCCGGAACGGCTGCCTGAGGATGCCATGATGCCATAAATCATGATGGGTCCATGCTGTTTAATCTGGTAAACCCAGTACTGCCACCCCAAATGGCCCACTAATGCTGCTAATCTGCATGGCTGGTTTTTAGGCCATCCTCACAGCTTCATGGCCCTCTGTTTGAAGGTTACCATAGGTTACCCCAATTTGAGGTGATCTACCATCACCCGACAAGGTGAGATCGCCTGAAAATCCTCGGGTGGGCTGGGCATCTCGGGCATCTCTGCCTTGCGCTGCTGTTTTTTGTTTTTGGTCATTCCATCACTTGAAATTCCCCAAAAATCCTATGGTCGTCGAACATGGGGAAATCATCTGTAAATGATGGACTTTCCAGCCAAGTTTGATTGCTGGAGGGTAATGAGCATGCGAACTGGTACGAAAATGGAGTGATGACCATCCCCATTGTGGCCAAAGAAGTGGTATGACGTCAATTGCGGATTTTGATGACACGTTTCATTGGGGTGTTACCATTTGAGTAGCAAATTATCACTCTTTGGGGGGTACCCCTAATTTTAATCAACTGGGGTGTTCTAATCTGGGGTTGACATTACACAGTGGTAAACCGCAACAACAGGGGATGTTTGCTTGGTGTGGATCTCGAATTATCTATCATTATCTAAGTTTGCTTTTTGGTGATAAATGAAAGAAGACAGGGATGTACCGAATGATTCTTTTCATCCTTTGTCATCCATTCCCGGACCTCTGAATTTTTGCCACCGTCCCAAAATTCTCGGAAGTACCCTCCATGACTTCCCGACTTCCGAAACATCTGGTTGGTGGTTGACCTACCCCTCTGAAAAATGATGGAGTTCGTCAATGGGAAGGATTATCCCATATATTATGGAAAATAAAATTCATGTTGGAAACCACCAACCAGTAATCCGTGTTGACTGACTTAGCGAAAGAAGAAAGTTGTCTCTCAAAAAGCAGGTCCAAAAAGCATCCCAATCTCATCCTCCCAGACCCTGCTATGTCATTCAATCTCATCGAGAAAAAAGACTGCTGTTTCCTTGAAAAGAACATTTAAAAAAAAAAAAACACGCAATTTTCAACAATTATAGGTATCAAATGTGTCAAATGACATCAATACTATGGCTACCAAAACATCAATTACCATAGACAGCAATATGGGTTACCAAAACATCGATATTGGTTGCCGAAAAAAATCAACGGTATCCCAGCTATGGAGATTTCTAGGTCAACCAATCGATCAGCGAGAGCGACCTCAGGCTCCAGGGCATCTCCTGCCTGGGGTGAAACCGGAGCTCCATCGCATTTTGGAAGCACAAAATATGGGTGTGTCTGAAAATAGTGTACCCCTAAACCCAATGGTTAATGATCATTATCCCTATTAAATGGCTATAATTGGGAATATACCCTATTTTCAGACAAACCCATATGGAACTTCTGGAAGAGGGACCATGAAAATTTCATAGGGACCCTTTCTTAACACCAAAGCTTTGGAGGGACCGGTTTTGTTGTGGTTTTTCTTGAATTTGGAAAAGCATGGATCTTTCAGCGGTGTAAAAACCTCATGACCGGCCCGTGTCTGAAAGAAGCCCATCTGCTGTTGGGTCGGAAGTTTCTAACCCAAGTAGAGGCACCTAATAGTTTCAACCAGCCAAACTGGCAATTGAACCAAGGAACGCATTTATATAACCAACTAAAATATACTAAAATGGGTATTTATCCGAATCGATTTGAGGGTTGCTTGGTGTCTCAATCTTCAACCGATGTAGTTCTGGTGACCTAAAGATCTGAAATGATGTGCTGAACTGTCCCAGTTGTTCAGTTGAACCTTATAGGCAAGTTAACATGAACAAACGAACTGGATAGATTGGCCCAGGGTCACCGCACCGTGCGGAGGAAGGGCACTCTCACCGGGGGCAAGGACGCCTTTCAGCGGGGGGAGGCCTGGTCCCCGAAATGGGGCCCCCAATTGAAACCTGGAGATCAATTAATAGTTGGAACCTCAAAAATGTTAAAAGTTGAAGGAACATGGCTAAATACATCCACTGGCCAAGGCTTCCAGAGGCCTTGGAAAAACTCTGCTATTCTAGCATGACACCAGAAATCAGCTGGCCAAGCTCTGTTTCCACACTCAAATTAGGCACCCCAGACAAGCGAATTTGTAGCTTAGGAAAAATACATCAACGCAAACAAGTATATATTGTATATACTGTATAGATGGTATGCAAAAATGAGTTGTTGTCCAATGTTCCTAGTGGATACGGCTGATCATCTTTGGATTCCAATGTTAGTTTTTGCCGAATCCCCTCTTCGTTTTTCTCCAGTTTTTCCAGTTAAACTTCAGCCAATTTTTTCGTCCCAAATCCACTTTCGTCCCCGAGTATTCCATCGTTTTCCCATATTTTGCCCGAACTGCTCGTTGCCCCGAAAAGAAACATCCACGCTGCCTCCAAACGCTGGCACAGCTCTGCCAAGCGCGGGATCTGCCGACAGCCCTTTAGCAAGGCTACGGCCTGGGAGGGAGCCAAGGGGGAACTCAATGACTTGACCGATTTCTTGTTAGGAATATGGATACCCTGAATGTACCCTCTGGTAAACGTTTACATAGCTATGGAATTTTCACAATGTTTCATGGGAAAATCCACTATAAATGAACATAAATGAACATAGCTATTGAAAATGGCTATAAACTATATAACAGTTTGCGAACTGGAAAATCACCATTGTTCATTTCGGAACATCCACTATTTCGACTGGGCAATGTTCAATATGTAAGAAATTACCAGAGGGTAAAGCACCTGAGGTTCCAGGCGGTGGCTTGAAGGTCCTTCTGCTTGGGCCTGGCTTCGTTGAGGCATCATTCCAGTGAGGTCGTGATCCCCCAGTGATGGTAAACCCAGGCCAGGGACGGGCCCAAGAAGTGCACTTCGGATTGACCGGAAGCGATTTTTGTCGTTGAACGAGCACGAAAAAAATGTCCGTGCTCTTTTTTTTCCATCTTTTCTGGTAGCAACTGTCTGATCTTCTCCGATATAATTGTCCAATATGTTACGTTTTTTTTCCAGTAAATCCATGTACCCTCTGGTAATTTAACATAGCCATGGAAAGATCCACCATTTTTAAGTTCGGTAAACCATCTATTTCTATGGGCCATCTGTACCATGGCTATGTTAGTCATAACCAGAGGGTAAATCCCACTTAAGTGGCGATTTTCGTGGCAACATCTTCCAGCTGGGCACGGCTGCCCAATGGCGCCTAAAGGGTGCTGCAGCGCTGCCCAATGTCTGAGGCGCCGCGGCAAGCACTGCCTCGGCGAAGAGGCAGCGCAAGCGCTGGATGGGAGGTTTATTGGTTGGTTTATTGGTTTATTATGGTTTATTACATATATATAATATATATATATATATAATATATATATATATAGAGAGAGATATATATATATATATATAATATATATAGATATATATATATATATGAAAGATCAATCCCAATAGTTTGCCATACAATAGATTGCAATCAGCGGCTTATTACATAGAGTTCGTGATATAAAATAATAGGAAACATGTTTTTTGAATGGGTTTATACCTGGCTTATAATCAACCAGATGTCCATTAGATCCAAGCAACCTTTTTACAAATGGGACTTGGGTGGTCTACCCCAAAAGTCAAAATCCAAGTCATGGGCTTTTGATAACCGCCATCAATGGATTGATGGTAAGGTAATGTATGTAATGTTTTCTTGGGCCAAAAAAAAGAAGAAAACACATGTGGTTTTCCTTCCGTTTTCCTAGCCCAATGCTTGGAGGTCTCCGCTCATTTTCGCTTGATCCAATTCTGGGAGGCGGGTCGTTTCAGAGGCGGAACTGCAAGAGTTTAGGCGTTTGCCAATGGATTACGCCAAGGTGGAACCCCAAAAAAACTCGTTTCCAATAGGACAATCTGCAGCGGAAAAGGTAGCACTAAGCAACCCTGGGCTCACACGAAAACGGGCAGGGCTACAACGGTCATGTTTACAACCATGTACCCCTAGAATCCCCTAAAACAACCACGTGGCAACTAGACAGGGTTCAGAATCCAGCACAATCCGTTCACTTTTTGTAGTCATTTTTAGGCATGCTGGGGGATCCCTGCGATGGGAACCTTCTTCAGGGCACAGATCACTGGCAAATGCTGCATGAGAACCTTGGGAGGGCACCATTCCTACACTGCCCCTGCCCAGGAATCGGGGAGGTCCTGTCCATTTGTAATTGCTATGTCTATGTGGTTACTTGTCAACTGGATAATCTATTTCTTCATCATGTTTCGGAAATTGTTTCTACAATTTTCTACATATAATCTAGACACATGGTCATGGCACAAAAAAACAGTTGTTCCATGCAGTGCCCAAAAACCCTCTGCCATCCCCATAGCTACTGGTTGCTGCGAATCCCGGCATGGATCAAACCATATTCCTACTATCCCGGGCCAAAGCGTCGACCAACCGGCTGTACAAAGCCTGAAAAACATCTGCGGGTGAAAAATTGGTCAATTCCACCAAAATGTCAACGAGATACTACTAAATTGCTAAGTCTATAGAGAATCCCCCAAAAGAATGAGATGGTTTACAAATTCTTGGAGAAATTGCAAGACCTGCCCAGTCCATCTGTTTTTGCCCAGAAGCCGTCGGCACGCCTTCGCACACGAAGACCACCGAAGCCTACGACGCTTCGGAAGTTCAGGGCAGTTTCGTGGGTTTTTTGTGTTTCTTTAACGGGATTTTACATGAGTTATACAAAAAAAGAAAATGAACCCACTATATCCTCAGAAATTGGTCAGTTTATATCCCTCACTGGTTGGATAAACAGATTATAAACATGTGTAAACCTCTCAAAAACCCGACAGGTAAGCCATCAGTAGGGTTTACCCATGGCAGTCATAACCCCAGCGACTCGGCTTGAAAGATATGTCCAACAATAAAAGGCTTCAATTTAGAATCAAGACAATCTGATGCTTGTCCCATTATCCCAGCTTATCCCATATATATATATATTATGTATATATACACATACATATCCCATGATTGGTTCGCCTCATTATCTACCCATAGCCTTCAACCATGAAACCAGCATGAAACCGTGCGTGCCCGTGCCCCGCCTGCTCCTTCTCCAGTGCTTTGACCGTGGCCTTCACGCCAATGGCGGCCAAACCTGGTGACCCAGAGATGGTGGGCCACACTAGGTCTCTTTTTGTGGGTTTTTTATGGATAACATTGGGATTTCTATGGATTTAGCAACCAAAAATATGGAACTTCTATGGAATAGCCTCGAAATAGCCTCGAAATAGCCTCGAAAATTGACCATTGTTTGACACCCACTGGTCAACAGTTTGCTGGAAAATCACCATTTTCTTTTCGGTCAGTCATCGAACTAAGTGGGTCATGTTCCATAGCGAACTGTCAAATTACCATAGTGGGTATATGATGGTATCTGGATTTCGTTTCCAGAATGGGAACTGGAATCTGTATTTATGATGTGTTGACAAATTTATGATGGCTGAGTTGGTTTCTGAATGCCTACGCGACTTCTATGGTTTGCAGTAGATACATCGAACTAGATCATGGGGGTTTATCAACCCAAAAAAAAAGTATTATCATGTATTATCCCTTTATATGGGTATGTAATCCCCAAAAATAGGACTCTTGAACGCTGCTCGAGTTGTGCCTTTCGCGGTGGCTGGATGGACATCTTTCACATCCTTGGCGGCCAAGCGCAACCTCGAATGGCAGGAGGATTGGGCTGCCGGGTGTTCAGCTTAAAATCTTTCTGGAAATTTCTACAAGCTTTGCTGAATCTTGGGGGGTACTATCCAATTTTTTGGACACCAAAAAAAATCATGGGGAGTATCCTGAAAAATCAGGTCATGTACTGCATCTGGAGACCACATGGGTCAGCGGCAGGAGTTGGATGAAACATGCCATGACATTCCACTAGGCAGATTCAGGAATGAATGCTGCACATAAAAAGAAAATCATACATGGTGAACTGGTTTTCGGAAATGTCTGAACTCTTTCTTTTGGGCCTTTGCCCAATGTTAAGGACCCAAGAAAATTCTGATCCCACCCATTTTTTTTACCTCACACTGCTAACACTCCCAAGGTTCCACGCCCCCACAGGGCATCACTTTCCAAACCAGCTGCCGCGCGTTGCACCTAGCCATCGTCTCGATGAATCCGCGCTGTTCGTCATGATTTTGCCGGCAAGAAATGATGAAGAGAACCAGCACATAGTTGGAGGAAGTATTTGGAGGAAAATGTCACATAATTATGTCATATGCCATCTGGTTATTTAACATAGCCATGGAAAATCACCATTTTTAAGTTCGGTAAACCATCTATAAATGGGCCATCTGTACCATGGCTATGTTAAATAACCAGAGGGTATACTCCAAATCATATGAGATGTCCCCGCCGTCAAAATGGGGTTTCTATCCACACATGATGCAATGCAGTCCACCAGGGGTTGGTGGTGAGCTCATTTCTGGAGCCCATTACTACAGGATCAACTGCAAGCATCCTTACCGCGAGCCGGGCTTCACGACTCTTCTGGGATTTCATCTAGGGAATTTGTGGCCAACCGATCGAAAAACTGCAGACCCTGGATTGCTGGAGACAGTTTTTTCACTGATTGGGGGTTCGCGGGTATGCAATTTCCAGCGACAAACGAAGAGACCCCCTAAAGTCATAGATCAATATATGAGTCAACCATCACTTTCATATGCTTAAATCGGATTTGGGGATGTGTTACGTTTCACTATGTTTCACACAAAAAATGAAGATCCTGATGCCCTTTCCATTTTTGGAATCTCTCAGACATCCCCCCGCCGTTGCCCCACCAAATCCCATCCCGCTCTTTTTCGTTGCACCACACGGGCAGCTGGTTTCGCGGTCGACGACGTGTCGCGACCCGTTTTCCGCCACGCTGTGAGGCCACTGGGAGGCTACGACTGACACCAATCCCCTCCAAAAAAGTGGGTCCTTCCTGACAGTGCAAGTTTCAATCCCCGGTATTTCATGGTATTTCCTCTTTCAATCCCCATCTTGTAGCTAGCTCCCCATCTTCATGATCTTCATGATCTTCATGATCTTCATGATCTTCATGATCTTCATGATCTTCATGATCTTGATCATCAAAATCATCATCTTTCAAAAACCTCTAAATCCATCATTAAATCCATCAACCAATCCCCCATATCAGCCAGCTTGATTTCCGCAGATTCTCCAGTCGTGGGGTGAACCCCGTGGCCTCACCCCGTGGCCCCCTCAAGCGGATTTCCCCGTGGCCACCTTGGGCCGTTGCGTCACCACGTTCTGCGCCTCGGCCGCCTGCTTGCGGCGCTGCTGCTCCGCGGCGTCGCTGCGGGAACTCAGCTTGGGCTTCTTCAGGTCCTACACGGTGCCATGGCAGCCATGGTGACCACCAGGGGATGGTCGTTTGGAGGTGCCAAAGGATATAAATGGATATAACTTATATAACCATTTAGATGGAGATGTAATGAGAAGATATCATCTCAGATATACCGGGAGTGACTCACATAGCGAAAATCATCTTTTTTAAGAGGTAAAGATGTAAATCATGTATATCGTCTATAAATGGGCCATGGCTTCCATAGTACGATGTTAAGCAACCGGTCGGTACTAGGTGATTCGTCCTGATGTCTGTTTGGTGAACTAGCCAAAAACTGCACCAATCCTACTTATCCCAAGAGTTTGGTGAACTAGCCTACTTACTAACTCGGATAAACCAAGACCACCAAGTCGGGGGGTTGTTCTTGGGGATTTGCTAAAGAATTTGAAATGGAGATTGGACCAACCTAAACCAAGCACAATTGGGATATGATGGCATCTAAATGTTCACTGCTTGGTCTGCTGGGTGTCAAAAGGATCAGTCGCTCAGCGACTGAGTGTAGTTGGGGCTAAAAAATGGTTGTGACCGTGGTAACAACCCCCATTTTTCTTTGTTGGTATATGGGCCCCTATAACTACGGTTATATCATATTATATATCCTGTTAGAACTGGAACTGCACCCCAGTTCTAGTGGATGCAATTTGGGCACTCTGTGATGCCCAGCGTTTCCCAATTTGCCAGTGCCTCCAATGTCATCTTCAGGGATTTCTTCCTGATTTCGGCTGAAATCCATCGGTCTACGGTCAGTAAAGTAATTGATCCCTTTTTCACAGGCCTTCTCCAATCCTGGTCTCCGGCAAAGTATGTAAGGGCGAAAAAAAAAAAACATACGGAGGTTCCATAAATGGAGGTACCCCAAACTGTATGGTTTATAGTGGAAAATCCAAAATGGATGATAACTTGGGGTATCCCATGACTTAGGAAACCTCCATATCCAAATACATTCCGCATAGACAAGATATACAGCAATCTTTGCACCAGGCTAAGGGTATTCTATGTACATGAAATTGCCATCATATAATCAGACACTAAAGAACAACCAGGCTTTGTTCGCTTTGTTCATGCTGGTTGAGAAGATAGTACCGAGAGTCTGGTCAGATGGCATCACACCCAGCGCTTCGAAGAATTGTTTTTGCAGTTCCTTGGCGCCATGCCGGTTTTGCTAACAAACTATGAAAATGAAAATGAAAACCCCAGTTTTTTGCAGTTTTGAGATGTGTGGTGTTTTTGAGGATTTGTTGGGAGATTGGTTGCGGTTTTTTGGGTTGTCTTGGGATCCCAAATGTTTGAAGGGCTGTCCACAAGAATCACCTGCAAGCCAAAGACTTCAATTTGCAACCCCGAAACTCGGCCATGGTTGATCATGGTTCTCCCTGTTGACATGACCATTTTGGGGTATCAGCCCATGTTGAGACAAGGCCAAATCATGTGTCAACCCAAAGCTGATAGGCATTGTGGAAATTCCATGACATTCCCAGAATATCCTAAGAAAAATCCAAAAGAAACAGGCCGCTGGTGATTTTCCTAAGCAAAATGACCTGTTTTTGTGGGCCAAGTGGTCCCCGAATCTTATACATCGCTACACCTTCAGCCAAAGACGCGCTGTCATCTTGAACCCTCTCGTCGTCTCTATAGACGCTACCTCCAGACCAACGACCCAAAGTTCAAAACTTCAAATCCTATTGACTGGGGGGTCAGTTAGGATCCCTGGGTAATAACATGTTAATATAATCACCACATCAAATAACCCAGCTACACCGTGGCATTTAGGGTGCTCGGGATGCACCCCCAGAGTTGTTTCCTGGGGATGTTTTTTTTCAGGTAATGTGGTACCATCATCCCACGGTCCTCGTAACCGGTTGTAACTATAGTATACTATAGTTAGTTCACCCATTTACACATGTTATACCCTTCGGTAAACATACAAAAAACTATTGAAAATGGTCATTTAGTTCGTTGATTTACCCTTTAAACATGGTGATTTCCCATAGTTATGTTAGTTTACACATGCTATAACCACTAAGTGGGATGATCCCCGTCGCCACCAAGGCCTTGTTTGAAGCCGTTGCTACGATCCCTGCGGTTCCTCTTGGGATTCGTCAGGACCTTGTAGGCCTCCGTGACCTCCAACCAGATCTCCTGCACTGGGGGGATATACATGGGGAATATTCATGTGAATGGAATCATTTAAAGGTATATATATATGTATATATATATATTGTATACATACACATATGTATGTATGTATGTATGTATGTATGTATGTATGTATGTATGTATGTATGTATGTATGTATGTATGTATGTATGTATGTATGTATGTATGTATGTATGTATGTATGTATGTATGTATGTATGTATGTATGTATGTATGTATGTATGTATGTATGTATGTATGTATGTATGTATGTATGTATGTATGTATGTATGTATGTATGTATGTATGTATGTATGTATGTATGTATGTATGTATGTATGTATGTATGTATGTATGTATGTATGTATGTATGTATGTATGTATGTATGTATGTATGTATGTATGTATGTATGTATGTATGTATGTATGTATGTATGTATGTATGTATGTATGTATGTATGTATGTATGTATGTATGTATGTATGTATGTATGTATGTATGTATGTATGTATGTATGTATGTATGTATGTATGTATGTATGTATGTATGTTGTATGTATGTTGTATGTATGTATGTATGTATGTATGTATGTATGTATGTATGTATGTATGTATGTATGTATGTATGTATGTATGTATGTATGTATGTATGTATGTATGTATGTATGTATGTATTATGTATGTATGTATGTATGTATGTATGTATGTATGTATGTATGTATGTATGTATGTATGTATGTATGTATGTATGTATGTATGTATGTATGTATGTATGTATGTATGTATGTATGATGTATGTATGTATGTATGTATGTATGTATGTATGTATGTATGTATGTATGTATGTATGTATGTATGTATGTATGTATGTATGTATGTATGTATGTATGTATGTATGTATGTATGTATGTATGTATGTATGTATGTATGTATGTATATGTGTGTGTAGATATAGATGAACTATTCTGGGATTTAGATAATGCCCATGGTAAATAACTGAAAAATATCAACATGATGGTAGATATAGATGGAATATGATAAATGAAATACAAAAGCAAACATAATGATCACCGATCGTGGGATCTAATTGGGAATATCAATGGGACATAACCATTTTATGGCGAAAAAAAAATGAGAAACCCTTTCACACTTGGAATTGGACAATGGCAACCAGAATTGGATTCCGACTAGGAATGGAATTCCTGAAACCAAAACTGACTCATTCTACCCACCATAGGATTACCATTAGTACCGCACAAGGCGGTGGCGGAAGTGTCTAAAATAGGAAACCTATAGAAGAGGTTGGTTGTTGTGAATCACGGATGGCAGAGCGAAGCCACTGATGGACCAAAAGGTGGTTGAGGTCTCCTCTCCCGCCGCGGCTCCAAGGTTAGCGGTTGGGGCCGCATGGAGCATAGATGAGGGATTGGGTGAACTCACCTACAAGGCAGGAAGTTGGGTTTGTGGGCTCTGTGGGACAGTCAGGGTCGGCGGGCCGCAGTGTACTGGCACATACGACCGCAACTGCCGGCGTCTTGCGTCGGCTCGCCCTACTCAAACCGCCTTGCCTGCCGCAGAGAAAAGAAAGGCCAAGAGAGACGCGGGGGTAACAAAGATCGAACAGATCCTTAAGGAGAAGTCATGGGACTGTGATCACTGCGGAAAAGGGAACCTGTCCTTCAGGTTTAAGTGCTACAAATGCAGCTATCCCCGTCCGTCTCAAGAGGACTCCTCGGAGGAGGAGGTTCGCCAGGAATCAGAGGTCAGAGGCCGTGATCAAGGCCAACGAAGAGTTTCTGGCTCAGAAAAAGGCGCACAAACTCAAGCGAGCTGGGAGGCGCCACAAGAGCAAGGGCCATAAGAAAAGGAAGAGGGCCGAGTCTGCTGGGTCAGCGGCGGGGCTTGCGTTTCGCAGCCCTCGTGCGACCAGAAGGAAGAGATCGACCAAGAAGCGCCGACGCTCTGGTTGGTCTGTGTCGCGGAAGGTTCGCAGCAAGAAGGCCCACGCGGACAATGGCAATGGGCTATCGTCCAACAAGCTGGGCTTGGTCATAGCCGCCTTTTTGGCCCCAGTTGTGCGAAAGGTCCACATCGAAATAAAGGAAATTGTGGAGACCAGTTCGGAAGCGTTCCAAGTGGTGATCGCAGAAGGTGGAGAGGAAGTAGCATCCTTCGTTGAAACTGGTTTTAGTATCGGGAAGGTCGTGCTTGCTGGTGGGTATCTCGAAAAATGGAAAATGCCTGGGTCCATATGACTCAGTGGCAACTCTATGGAGCCCCGGCTGCTGAGCTTCGACGGTACCTCTTCGACCTGGCAAGTGAGAGGAACGAAGAAAGATCATAAAGTCCGAGTCAGTGGCAACAGCCCTGGTTGCGCCTGCCGCCAATACTTGGCCTCTGGGACGTGCGACCATGTGGCGTCCGCAGTGGCAGCCCATCGGAATATGGTTGGCACAGGGTCAGCCTCGAGCGCTGCAGCTCGTGGCATGGCGATGGGAAGAAGGGAGGACCGTCCAGGGAAGTCCATGCAGGCTCGATCTGGGTCTCGGCTTGGGGAGCTGTTTCCAAGGGCTCGTGGAAAAGGCTAAGACCTTGAAGGGCGCAGAAGCTCCTTCGCGGACAAATGCGATTGAGGACGCCCAAGACTTCGAGAGAAAGGTTATCAAGGAGTCCCTGAGTTTGGACAGCGGTCGAGGGAGCAACGTGGATGAGCCGACGACAGCGCTTGCCTCTGTGCCAATTGGCATTCCTCGACCTAAAGCCTTGAAGAATAAGGCCGAAAGCGATGAGATGGACCAATGCAGGGCCAAATTCCTGCGTGACGCTGAGACGTTTGACTGGCTCGTCCAAGTCTTGGAGTCTGTAGGCAAGGGCGGCCGTGCGCTGGTTCAGGCTTACTCTTTTGATCAGCCAGATGTGATCAATAGCCTGAAGCGAGCAACCGAGAGAGGTTGCCTGACTATGGTCGTCGCAGATCGCTCGCAGGCCGCTGGAAAGACCAAGACGCAGCTCCAGATGCTGAAGGAACTGAGGTCATCTGGTGTGCAGGTCAGGCTGACGGAAGGGTTTAATGTCAGTCAGGCCTATGAAAAGGACAAGAGGTCAGTGAAGCTGGGGCGCGAGCTACGCGGCCTACAGCATGGGAAGTCTGCGTGCGTGCAGATCGACCGGGAAGATCAACGCGCTCCACTTCAGTTGGTCGTAGGAAGCTGCAATCTTACGACCTCGTCGAAGGCCAACTATGAAGCTGGAGTAGCGCTTGAGCTCTCGCAGGAGAGTGACACAGCCAAATTGTGGCTGCGCCTTCGAGGAGATTTATGAAGGAGGAATCACGATCGAAGATCATGAAGGCGCAGCTGGGAACGAGTAAAAAGAGGCTAGGGACAGAGAGATGTGGTGTGTAATCACCTGAGTATCTGCCCTGCCTCGCGGTTGATGCTTGCGTTTCGCGGCATCGGCGTGGGCAGCCTAAGCTTTGGAGAAAGCTGGCTCGAAGCACAGGGCACTAACCCAGCTGAGGGGCGAGTGTGGAGTGCCATTAGATAGCCACGTGTGTTGTAGCTTAGGTCTGCCCCGTAGTTTTTCGTGTTGCATGTTGTACAGTAGTTTCACATGTCTATTTTGGCTCAAGTTGTGCTGCAAGGGTAGCATAGGTTGCTTGGCTAGGAGTAGCGAACGTAGCTCCGCTTACCGCGAGACTCTCCGCGAGCAAAAAGACAGCTGCGCTCGTTGGTGTGGGCGTGCTCGCATAATAACAATAATAATAATAATTAGTATTAATAATTAATATCAATAATTAATATTAACAATAATATATTAATAATAATAATAATATAATATAGTGTTTATATAATATAATATAGTATAACATAATAAAATATAATATAGTATAATATAATATAGTATAATATAATATAATATAGTATAATATAATATAGTATAATATAATATAATATAGTATAATATAATATAATATAGTATAATATAATATAATATATTATAATATAATATAGTAAAATATAATATAATATAATATAATAATATAATATAATATAATATAATAATAGTAATAGTAATAGTATATAATAATAATAATAATACATTATAATAATCATCATCATCATCGTCATCGTCATCATCATCATCATCATCATCATCGTCATCGTCATCGTCATCGGCATCGGCATCGGCATCGGCATCGGCATCGTCATCGTCATCATCATCAGTCCTGGTTTTAGACGTCTTACTTTATTTTTGCTATCCACTTATTACTCCTTTACCCTTTAATGACCATAGATTGATACACCTTTCATAAACTCATCTTTATCCGATTCATACACTTGTCATACACACTAGAATCGACCGAAACTCCACTCCCAAGGGTCCCAAACCATCCAAAAACTTATCACCCCAACCCCACCACCCCAAGGGCCCCAAGGGCCCCCACCCCCCTCCTGCGCATCGGGCGCATCGCTGATGTCCGGATGCTCACTGCGCGCCCGCTGGCGGTACGCCGCACGGATCTCCTCGACGCTGCTCCCAGGCTCGACGCCCAGCACGGCGTAGGGGTCCTTGGCCACGGCGAACCTGGCCACGATGGAACCACGCGGGACCGGTGAAGATGCGGAAATGGCAAGGAAAAGATGGCAAGATAAGGTTTTTAAGGATAGAGTTGGTGTATTTTGGCGGCCACTTGTTGACTTGTTGTATATATTGGATGTACTCAGTTATATATGTAGTGTTGAATGGGTACAGCCGACTAAAAATGAGACTGAATGGATGTTTCACTAGCGAAAGATAGGCGGTTCACCAAACAAGAATGGGGATAGCAATCAGACAGGTAGCAACTGTTGGGCTAAAACCTGGTGAAACTGGGCTTCAAAGTGAGTGAAGCTTCAAGTTGGGTTATGGATGGTTATGGTAAATGTTCCAAAAATATGCCATGCAACTCTGCCTTTCCTCCAAAAGTCCCGGGATCTCTCGTACCTGGCTACTCTACTACCTGGCGTCTGCGCCCAGTTGGTGAATCCAGCGCCGTGGAAAATCGCCAGCCACGGAAGAACGACGACCGCCGCACGACACGCGCGCATGGCGGCCGTGCCCCGGGCGCGGCAAGGGCGGGCACCGTTTCTGAGCCGGGCAAGATAGCCATCCGTCCAAAAAGGTTGACCCATATGAGCCATGGTCAATACTCACTATGGTTGATGGTCATCCCATCCATAATAAGGATCCTTATAATGGTTATTATAAATCCCTATGAACCATTGGATGACTAGCCCCTATTAATGGTTATTAACCATGAGTATTGACCATAGCTCATATGGCAATGGAGGAAACATGATGATCCCTGACATCTTGAAAAGCGTGCTTGGTTTGAAAGAAACTCGTTTAAGACATCAACGGTTGAAAAAAGGGGGGGACTCGGTCACAACATGGCGGCCTCCCATCGGACCCGGGTGGAGGACCCACTCCTGCATCGGCACACGAATTCTTGGGGCCCAAATGGAGAGTCTCACGGTGGCAGTTTGGATTACCAGAGGGTAACATGGCACCCACGAACTTGCCAAAGTACCCCAATCTATGAGCAATTCATGATGAACCATGAGATTTTGGTGCATTTTCAGACAAAATCATATGAATTGCTGGCAATATGACCTATAATCGGATGGCTGGCTGAATGATTACACTTACTGAGGGATGATCATGTTATCTTCCAATTCTGGGATGGATATTCTGAGACTGTTATTCTTCTGGACAGTCTAAATTTCGCATTAAGTCAGGAGAGGTATCTCTTACCTTGCAGTCTCCACAGATACTTGTTGGAATTGTGTCCTTCGTATTTCTGTTCAATGGAAATGTGATAGAGATTGCAGACCTGTGAGTCATCAAAGTTATGGATCACATATCTGCTATTGTTTTCTTATAACTAGCACTTAAGCGGTATATGATTTCATGTTGCGATTCCAGCTCAATCTTCAATCAAGGGCCCCATATCACAATATCATTCTGAAGTGTCCCCGTGTTGGTTGTTTCAATACCAACTTTGCTTGGTTGCCCAGTTTGGTTTGTTAAATCCCAGTGTGCTTTTGTTGATTGGATACTGACTTTGCTTGGCAAAATATCCATTTTGCAGGGGTGTTCCCCATGTCCCTAAAGTCGTCCTAAGCTTCAGGGCCCACCCGCTGGTCCTGCTGTCTCGAAAGATGCGCCTGGCAGCATTTGGACAACGTTGTACCAAAGTTGTATACCCTCTGGTGAACTAACATAGCAATGGAAAATCACCATTTTTAATGGGAAAATCCACTATAAATGGCAATTTTCCATTGCTATGTTAGTTCACCAGAGGGTAGTAGAAACATGTAGAAACCAGCAAATGGAGGTTTATTCTTCAGCGCTGCCAGCAATAAACTGAACAAATCTGAAGGCTTCAACCACCGATCCATCCCTGCGTTAAAGGACCAAAGGACCGAGTCCCCCAACGTCTTCTTGCCACGAAGGGGAGCAGCCATCGAAAAGCACCGCTGTTTTCGGCAAGTCGCTTGTGTTGGTTCACGGTGCAGTGCTGGGAGTTGAAACTGACATCAGGCCCAAAAAGTGTGCTTTGTCAAACCTCCAAATGTAAGGTTCCAGGCTTTGAGATCATGTTGTGAGGTTCCTGGCCTGGATTTTTGCTAGGACCTTGGAGCGGCAGCATCGAAAGTCAGTTCTTGAGGATGTGACAGGATGTGTCAAACTTTGAGGAAGCGTCAAACTTATGTTTCCCCAAAACGGCACCTCAACAAAAAGGGCGGTATAAAAAGGATATCATGAGGACATAATGGGATAAATCCACAAAAAAGGAAAACACCTTTGAAATAAAGCCTGGCCCCTCAAAAAAGGTGGGTGTGCCAGGCTTAGTGGCTTAGTGCCTCCTTCACAATCCAGATGCTGAAACGGAGAAGCCGTCAGTATTTGGAGCTTTGGAGCGATGACTCACAGCTGCAAAAAGGGTCCAACCATTTCTGAACTGGAAAAACCTCATCCCACTGGCTACGGCTACCCATGGCTACCCTTCCCAAACCTGCCGCCATGTTTTCGCATCGAAAGGCCATCCGTCCATGTTCCGCAGATTTGCGGCGATGGGAAGATCCAGAGCCGAGCCCCAGAAATTTCAGGCTTCGGACTCTGAGGAAATGGATGAGTTTTCCGGCTGGACATGGAGATATATGGAGATGTTTTCCGGCTCGAAATGGGTAATTCAACATTCAACGAGCAAAAAAACTTGGAGTTGCTGCTAAAAAAGGAGATCTTACATGCCAAGAATTGGATCTGCCATAAACCTAGATTTTGGTCACAAGAAAATGTGCGGATGTGCTCATATGTGCTCAACAAATCGAGATTTAAGCAATGGAAAAGAAGCATAGAATCTGTCAATTGAAAATTTGGACTTCACATTTGGTGGTTCATTGGATTGATTTAAGGGAAAATCTACAGGAAACCATGGTTTTTACCATTAAATATGGGGGTTTCCTGTAAATTTTAAACCAACCCAGTGAGTGGAGCAAAGGCACTGATTGGAAGCAATGGATCAATACGATACCAAGCATGAGTGTCTCATCCATCTGCTAACATGCCCGTCCGATCTACGTCTTGTAAACTGGAAGGCTTACAGGGTCACAGAAAATCGAGGAGCACAAATCTGTCGCAAACAGCTATGACTCAGTTACCAGTTCTAAATGAGATAAGCAATGATAAACCCCAGTTCTATATGGCTCATCCAAATTACAACTGCAATTAACAGAGCTTTTGGTGCAGAGCTTCCCAGGATTTTTTTCCAGGACCCTAACTTTGGGACACACCCGCCTCATGTCCGGCTGCCTGAGGCGCCCCTGTGCCAGGAACGGAAGCTTTGCTGAAGACGCTGTAGCCAAATGACTTGGCGTAGGCGTTACCAAAGGCCACCACATCTGAACTACCTGCGGAAAACGGAAAGCTGGGATAATGGCTAAATCCCTATTGAACTGATAATGGCTAATAATAGTCGGATATATTATTGAACACCATTATCAGTCAGCCATATTTTTTGTGTCTGACTGATGGCTAAATCCCTATTGAAATGTCGAAATTTCAATAGGGATATATAATTATCATTTACCAATGGATTTGGGATGATTTAGGGCCTATTTTCAAACAAAGCCATATAATAAAACGACCATGAATGGGGATGAATGGGACTGCTTCAATGGGCGTTTTTTTTGGGGGGGAGGGGGTATTGCTTCGGAGAAATCTCCTGCTGGGGTGGGGTCAACATGAAACGTCCAAGAGATACCCGGAACTTTCAAAGCGAAACAAAGACATCTTGAAATGGCAGTGTGTCAAAACCTTGTACCCCTGGTGAACATCAAAATAGCTGGTAAATGGATGTTCATCCCCCTAAAAATGGTATTAATAGGTATTGATCCATACCCACATCAGAAACTAAGATCTGTGGTACATACAATACATCAGAAACATGCCCAACATCTGTGAACATCTGTGAACCACTGCCCCTTTGTCGATGGATCCGTGCCTTTGGGTTTGAACCAAGGATTCCCTGGTCGATTCATGAAGTTTCGATTACGCTCAGCTGCTTGCGCCACTTGACGCTCCTGCCCGGGGTCTCTTCACGTCTCTAGGAACCCTAGGCTTCCAAAACAGTGAATTTCTTTAACTTACTGGTGCTTAGCAGGGAATGAGGGAATGATCCATAATCACTAGTAAAAATATGTAATAATCATCCCAGCAACCCCCAGCAACCCATCCATTCCCTACGTTTAGCACCAGTAAGTTAAGAGATGCCAGTCAATTTTTTGAGACAAAGACTTGTGATCTCTGAGCAATCCATGGCTCCTGCTGGCTGTCGGGCCTTGGAACCACTCCTACACCTGATGCTTGGCGAGGAGGAGCCGACCCCTTGCAGAGTTTGTTTGGGCCCTTGTAGGCTCCACGAAACCATATGAAACCTATATCTTTCAGGAAAAGTCTAATTTAACTAAGTTATGTTTGAAATATTTAATGGTTGAAAAGTTGAAACCCCCATTTACTTGATATGAATCCCATTTACCCTCCAGTGATCAAACATGTCACTGGAAAATCTCTCATTGATAGATGATTTTTTCATTCAAACCTCCATTTATGGAGGACGTTCTATTGCCATGTTTGATTACCAGAGGGATCCAGAGATCATTTTTTGAAAAGTCTGGAGATTGCAACACACGGCATTCGCAGGCGTCGTTGGAACTCTCTGCCGCCATTCACCAAATTGGTTTCTCCATCTGCAGATATTCTAGAGTCCCCATCCACCCTCGATGAATCTCTATTGTTTCTTTATAAGTCAACTCAGTTAATATACTACTCATATAGCTGAGTGATGTAAACCAAACAATACCCCATCCCAATTGAGGTTTATTGTTGGGTATACACCGTGCTCCGGGATTTTCTGTAAAATGATTCTTCTTGTGGCATTGGGTTTACCACATGATCTTACATAACCTACCACGTCACCCCCCCTTGATGTGAGTTTGTTGATAACCCTAATCTGAGTAGTTCAACGTACCTAATATCAACCATCGAACTTGCCTAATTCAACGTAGCAAACACCCCCTATTTTGCGTGGTGAATTCATTCACTGTTTATGCTTAAAACACACTTTTCGCTTCTTCCAATACCATTGTTCAGTGTCTTTTTGGACAATGTTTACTGCCAGTAACCCCAATTCGGGTCGGTCAAATCACCATTTTTTCTTGCATAATTTGCATCTCTACATCACAGCTTTTCTTGGTGAACTCACATTCAATCACCATGGTTCTTGCGACAAACATCAGCATGTTTCCGGGTGACTTCCTGCCATGCGCCGCGATGGGCGCCTCGCCAGGCATCCTCGGAAGGCCCCTGTGGCAGCGCTGAACGGAGCCCCGCACAGGCTGCAGGCGCGAAGATGTTGCTCTTGTCGAGGCTAAAGTCCACCTGTTTGGATCACCAAAAAACGAAAAAATGGGAGAAATCTGGGGAAATTGAGCCAAAACTCTTGGAAAATTGGGAATTGAACCAGTCAAAATCTGGATTTGAGCAACAGAAAAACACTGATGTTACCGCTCAAAATGGTGATTTGTAGTTGACTTATGGCGCTTTACCGACCAAATGATTGGCTAACATGTCTGTATAACCAACAAAAATTTGCCGATTCGATCCGTAGCAATGAGGATTTGAAACCAACAATGGAGCCATGCAGCCACCAAAAATGATGGTTGTCAATTGATGATGTGTTTCTGTAGTTTATTTTGCTACAAGAACTACAGTACATATAGATACATTTTTGGGATTTATAGTCGATATACATCTACTATTCAATGGGCTAAGAAGCATTCGTTCATGTTGATGTGAAGTAACTTTCTCATTAACAATCTAATAGAAAACTTGCCCAGAATGAGGGTACCCCAACCTCATGCTTGTTCAATACTACTATAGTCAAATTCCAAAGTTTTTGAATGTAAGAGTGTAGGAACCCACTGCCCCAACCCCAGTTCTCAATTGTGAGTTACGTATGCAGTACCTCTGATTCTTCAGAGAAAAGATGAACTGATTACCCTCTGGTAATTTAACATAGCTATTGAAAATGACCATTTATAGTGGATTTTCCCTTTAAAAATGGTGATTTTCAATAGCTACGTTAAATTACCAGAGGGTAACCCAATAGACAGCATCAACACTGCCCCGCCCCACGACTACCCCAGCACCCACCGTCCCCCCGTTGTGCCGTTGCGCCTTTCGCACCACGGCCGTTTCGGCCGCCGCCTTTGCCGGCGCCGCCTCCGCGGCGGGCGCCGGCGGCTTCGCCGCGAACTTCTGGCGCCGCCGCTCGCGACGCTGGCGTTTCTGGTGCTCCCAGTTCCTCGATGGGAGGAGTAGATGGTGACCTGGTGACCTATGGTGACCCCTTGGAAATAGCGATGTTTTGATCCAACTTTGGTGAACTAAAATGTGATATAACAGCTAACATAACCATGAAACAGCTCACATGGGATTTTAGCTGGAGATATCGGTATAGCACCCTAGAAATTGAAACGGCGCTTTTTGTGGAGCCACAAAAAGCACTGTGAAATGGGGAGGGGAATCTGCGTTGCGACAGAATGGCGAGTGGCTATGCCCACTATAGATGGGACTAAATCGCTTCACCTAATAACAGATAGGGGATCACCCAAAGATCGTGACCTAGTCACCACGAGGCGCTGGTTCTGTGTTTTACAAGTCCAAGTCAGCGCCATACCTTTTTCTACCTGCTTTTCCAGGGAAAATGTCGATCATCCAAAACAAAATACCTGGTAAACGTTTATGGAAAATCCATCCATTTTTTCAATAGCTGGCTATTTTTCAACTATTTCGACGCCATTTTCAACAGCTTTTTGTTTACCAGAGGCTACGGTACCCAAGAAAAACATCGGCCGCTCCATAGCCCTCTGGAAGACGAGTTGCTGTTGAAGCTGACGCCAGCGTTGCTGGATCTCCCGAGTCGACCTGCGAACATTGCGAGGTTAGAAAATTTGGACCAACATAAATTGGGAAAAAAATATAAAATGCAGGGATTTCTATGAAAATATATGAAATATCTATGAAAATGAGATGAGATTCAGATTTATAGATGGAGACTTTGAGATTTTGAGATTGGAGCTTTGAGATGGATATGCAAACTCCTCTGCACACATTTTGCCAATTGTTGATATGGAAATGTGCATGGATCTCTGGGGACTTCAATTGGGTGAATCCTCCAGAAGGGCGTGTCTCAAAACGGCTGGATATATGTTATATATTGTTATATACTCCAGTTTGCATGGCCATCCACTTTGAGAAATCCCAGATGGGTAGCCTGCAGACGATTCCCGTTCCGACAGGTGGACCAAAAATGGATCGAGATGGAGTTGGTATCACTAATTGAATTTCCAACATCCAGCACGTGGCTTGTATCTCTGCGTATGTACATATATGTACCGTGCATATATATATATATACATATATATACATATATATATATATACACACATACACATCCCCATACACATACATATACATGTGTAATTATATATATATGTATATATATATGCAAACAAAAACACCTGCACTTGGATGCAAGACGCCATCCACAAAATATGACATCAACTTGAAAAACCTTGGATATACTTTCGGTTCGATTTCGGGATGTGTGTACTCTGAAAACAAGACATCCCAAAACCAGATGGAGAAAATACAGGTTAAACAGGTGCCTCTACTGTAAGTCTGAAGGCTACAAAAAACACCGAAGTCCTAGTCACCCCACCGTTCAATGAAGATCTATCCAGGTGCAAAAGTTCCACATCTTCATCCAACATCCCAACGAAGAAAAAAAACATAAAAAAACATTGGCTGCATTGGCTTCTCATCGTTTTAATGTTTCAGTCATCAATGGAAATATCATGGAAATATCGTGGAAATATCATGGAAATATCATGGGAATATCATGGGAATATCAAGATGCTTCTCCAACAAAATCCAGGACTTCAGTCATCTTCCCCCCCCCTTTCCCTGTTGGCGCCTTCCTGCCACCTCCGGCGCCGGGCCCTCCATGGCAGCCGCGGCGTCCAGGCCGCTCCGCTGGAGGTCATCTTTCCGGGTGCCCAGCCACTTGGAAATCAGGTCGTCTTTCCGGGCCGAGATCACGTCCTTTTCGGAAACCCAGTGATGGCCCAGTGATAGCCCATCCTGGGGAAAACCACTTTAAAAAATATCCCGGGTATCCCCAATATATGAAAGATCATGGAATATCCCCACTGAGAAAAAGCCTCTAGGAAACGTTTACATAGCGAACTGGAAAACCACCATCTAGCTAAATCAACGCACTAAATGTGCCATTTTCAATAGTTATGTGGTAACCCACGATTTTCTATGTTTAATTGCCACGGCTTAGGTGCTATGTTGGATTGGAGGTGGACCTTTTCTGAAGTGGAAGATCCGCAGGCTCCTATGAATCTCGATCAGCCAGTGGCGATATCAAGGCCCCTGTAATCCTCACCATGTCACATTACTTCACGCCCTCGGAATCCCTCACAAAAAATCGTCTCCGAGCTTCAAAGGACCGCGGAGTCTGCACCGAGCCGCTTGCTTTGGCCTCAGAAGCCAGGGCTGAAAAAACGTTGGATGAGCTGTTTCTGGTCATAAAAAACATAGCCTATGGAAGCCATGGCCCATTGAAATAGATGATAAAGATGATGATTTACCGTTCTTAAACATGGTGATGTCAGAAGGTTTTGAAAGGGCCATGGAAACATGGGTATATGAAACATAGGATGGGCCTCGGTTTGGGGAGGGTTGGCCAGGAACCAAGGGCGCCAGGGCGTAATGATGTCATAGCCTTTGGTCATTGAAGTTAGCTATTGAAAATGACCCATTTATAGTTGATTTACCGAACTTAAAGTTGGTCTTTTCCATAGCTATGTTAGTTTACCAGAGAGTAATGTCTCAGAATCTACTCCAAACTCAGTTTCTCGCAGTTCGGTTGTCAAGACCCGTCTCTGACCTGATACCAACTAATTTGCAGCTGTCTTAACTTTGAATTGGCCATTAGCCATGGCTTCAGACGTGTGTATCAAACATACCAAGATAGATTAGCGATGGCTTTGGGGCAACCAACGCAACCACTTTCTGACCCGAAGCCACAGATGCATCACATCAATAGATGGTCAGAAAGTGGGCCAGCAACAAGCACAAAGATCTTCCCATCCCAGTGATCGTTTTTTTTCTAGGCACCCACAAAAACCCGACCATTTTTGAAGTCGACGTGTGGTTCCAGGTGTATATGTGTATATGTGTGTATATATCATTTCTTTCCCCGGAAAATGTAATTTCTGAAATACCACCCAAACGAAAACTGGTTCTTGGATCGATTCATCAATTGAGTTCAAGATTGGGACTCTCTAATTCAAAGTTGTAACCCTACCCAGCACTTTCCCTCACCTCCGTTCATCACCTAAATGAATGACAAGTACCACAACCCACCTAATACAAAATGTGTTAATATACACCAATTCTGATCCACAATGCTAGATGACCACCTCCACTTGTCGATTAGAATTCTCCCCCACGTTGGATGATCATTGTTCAGTCGGTCACCATGAAATGCGATGTAACTGCGATGGTTTACTAACTAGTTCCTATCATCTTTGTTTAAAAAAAACTAGTTACAAAGTTACAAATCATACACCAATTGTAGTACTAGCATGCTCATGAAATGTCAAACCAAAATATGAAAACAGCCACAGATTCTATGCACCAATCATCGTACTAGTACATATATATATATATATATATACATATATATATATATGTGACAATATAAACCGTCTAAAACCATATTAAACCATATAGTATTAGTATATAGATAGTGTATATATATACTATATATAATATATACTATATATATGTATACACTATCTATATATATATATAGTGTATATATGTATACACTATATAAGTATCATTCCCCATCTTCAGTCCTTTTCCAACCGTCCCCGGCTTTTCCGCCAAAGGCGCGTGGTCCCCGGCCGTCTTCTCGCCGCGCCAGCCGAGGCCCAGCCGTGGCGCCAGGCCGAACATCGTGCCGCGCTCCTCGTAGGGAAGGCCACCTGTGGGAAGCTCAACGATTTGCAGAGATGGATCCATGGGGTAGCATAAATTCATGGTGGGTATATAATAGGTTGTATATATCTATAGTTTAATATAGATATCTATAGTATATATGAATAGTATTTCACTATAGTGGTATATAATAGTGGTATATAATAGTGGTATATAATAGGTATATAATAGGTTATATAGGTATATAATAGATGATAATTGGTATAAGAGATGAACCTATAAATTCATAGTGGTATATAATAGGTGGTATATTTCCCCAGTCCTTATGGATTATGATACCCTCTGGTTATTTGTCACATAGCCATGGAATAGAAAAAAGGTTGTATATATCTATAGATAGTTTAATATAGATTTCTATAGTATATAGTTTACTATTAAACTATTTTATATAGATATCTATAGTATATATTAATAGTATTTTAACTATAGGGGAATTATAATATACAAATAATAGAAACTGTATGCCCATGATATTGGATATGGATATAATGGGAATACATAATATTCATAATGGGAAGGTATAATGGGAAGGTATAATGGGAAGGTATAATGGGAAGGTATAATGCATGATTTATATATATATATATGGGGTATTATATTCATGATATGTAGATAGATAGATAGATACTGTAGATATAATTTATAATGGGAAGGTATATATAATGGGAATATTAACCTGGATACTATGGATTGTTTTTTTGGCAAAAAAAAACAAACGGAAGCAACATTTGGATGGAAACAGAGAAAAACATGGTTAAAATCATGGTGAAAATCATGGGTCTATTCCAGTCGGACCTGGACCACTGGCTTTGGCATGCCATCCCACCTGGAGGCGTTGAGGCGAATGTGAAAGTTGGGAAGCAGCCAATTTTTATGTGACCACTGTGGTTCTTCATGGTAACTATGGTTAACTATGGTTAAAAATCCATAACTATGGTAACTATGGTTAATATTCATGAATCATCAAGGAAACCAATCCACTTGTGGACCATGTGTAGTTCGAGCTGCGTAAGTTCTTGCAGTGTTTTACCTGGTCATACTTTGGACATGTTGCATCCCTATTTGGAGGGCATGTTACTACCCTTCAACAGTAGCATGTGCTGGTCAACGTGCATCAACATGCTGGCAGGTGGTGGAAAAAATAGGTGGTCCAGTGGAATCAAAAATGCAGTATTTCCCCTCGGAAAACCTTCCAAATACTGTGTATATCTGGGTAAATTATAATATTTCACTAACCTGAATTGAGGCCATTTGGGGATGATTTCCCTTACTAACCATGATTCCAGTGAGGTCGTAGTGAGGTCGTTATAATTTACCCAGATATATATATATATATATACATAATATAATATATATATATATAACCAAGCTATGAATGAATGGTTATCTCCCCTTGACTAGTTGTTTTTATGTGTAACTCAGCTAATAAAGCAACACGTCAAAAAATCCCACGTTCCCTCTGGTAAACTAACATCATTGTGGTTTTTTTTACCATTTTCTAAAGGTAAACAAACTACAAACAATAGCTGTGTTAGTTTGAGAGTAAGTGCGGGTCAACTTTTTGAAGAGAACTGGTTGGGTGAAGCCTCAAAGAAGCCGCACCTGATGCTGCTCTGTCTCAGGCCACATCAGTTGTTCATTGGGGGCCCTCAATTTTGCTGCCTCGGGGATCCGGTAGGAAAGGTACCCTCCAGTTCACAAAAAAAGTAATTGGGATTTAGGGACATCTCCAAAAAAATGTGGATCCCCATGAGTGAAATTTCTAGCCATCTAACTTGGATTGCCCAAACCCAGGTTGAAGGTCATCAGTTCATTCCAATTGAATGCACTGCCATTTTTAGAAAAGTTTAAGGAAAAAAACAGTTTTTTTTATGCCCACCCTGTGTTTCAAATCTGAATCATCCCGTGTTGGTTTTACGAGACGTCTGGAAAGGGCCCCCACGATTTGCTGATCATCAATCCCTTCAGTATCCTGGATGGAAAATCCGCATGGGATGCGGTCGATGTTATCATCACTTTCCCAATTAGAGAACACCCCGTCTTTGTCATAATATTGTTGGAACTAATATCCCATAAAATGTCCAATTAAAAAATATAATGGATAAATATCCCGATGGACCTTTGTCTAAATCTCATTATCGCATAAAACATCCCGAATATATCCCCCGTATAGATATACGATATACATATTATAGTTGATTCTATGCCCCCAGTGTAGCTGCTCCAAATACGACTCAACCCAAAAAAATGTATATGATTTTACCCTACAATTCAATTTCCATACTGAATCAGGCTCCCAAAATATGGATGGTTCAATAAACCCATACTCTATAATCCATTACTATTTGACTATAGTTACTATAGTCAGTTATAGTTGCTTCATTAAAAAAAAAAAACACGGCGCGCTTCACGGCGCGCAAGGTCGCAAGGTGCCACATCGGCGCGCAAGGAGCGCTCCGTGGCAGCATCGAGGCCTTTTTGGGGGGACTCGTGGCAGCATTGGGTACACAAAATCCATAGATTCTCTTAGAAGAATCACTCAGGTTTCATAGATTCTAACATAGATTCTATTCAATTGAATCTAACATAGAATCTAACATGATCTAACCATCTATCCATAGATTCTAACCTCTGGTAACAGTTCGACCACGCTGCCATGAGTTGGGGGTTGGAAGATGAAGGTTCCACGAAAAATGGATGATTTTCAGGGTCGAACTGTGAATTTACCAGGGTACCCTCTGGTAAACTAACATAACTATGGAAAATCACCATGTTTAATAGGTAAATCAACTATAAATGGCCATTTCCAATAGCTACGTTAAATTACCAGAGGGTAAGAGGTAAACTACCCATAGATTCTCTTTTGGTTAGATTGTTGGAACTATCATTGGCCAGATAGTTTTTTTTTACCAAAAGAATAGTTGGCTAGACAGGGTAGATGGCTGAAACTAGCCGACTACCCTCTAGTAAACGAACCTAAATATGGGAAGATTGCCATCGTTAATAGGCAAATGATCGAACGAACCATGTTGAAAAATCCAGTAACAAACCCACTCTTGAGACTTATCAGTTATCAGATATTAATGACATTATATGGTACATTATATATATATATGGAAAGTTATATAAACATACGTATTGGTGATGGGAGTTAATGATAGCCAGTTAATAGGAAACTAAATGTAGCTATGATATCCCTTATCAGCTATACATAACCAGTTATCATTTATAGGTATTTTTCATGATACATGATATAAGGAAAGTTTGTATCACCATTTTAAAACTTGATATCCAATCATCTCCCAGTTTTAGTGCTTCGTTGTAACTCAAAACATCCCACACAAAAAAAAAAAACATCATCGCCTGGTAATGATACAGGATGGTGCCCCCCAGTGAAAAAACCCAGTTATGGTCGTTGCTTTAAAAATCCCATTAGCTCTAGTTATATACCGGGTTCCTACCATAAACAGTTAATTCAGTCACTTTTTTTCGGCCCATCCAGCGGAGTCGGCCCCAGCCTTGAACCTGTCCCTTCGCGTGCGGATCGATGTGTCCAGGTTTGAACTTTGATGGCACCTCGCAGGACGGGGCACAGATGTAGGTTTCGGGCAATTCTGAGATGAAGCAACCAATAGAAATTGGTGCGTTTATCATGGGACATGGTCTGAGATATGATACTATTGGGTGATGTATCCAATATTATGGGATATGATACTATTACGGGTCATAAGCACATAGTATCATAGACAAATGGTGATATTATGGGTGATGGAATACTGTCTGAGATAGCCTCTGGTAACCTCCGCTATGGAAGATCACCCAAAATCATAGGTAAATCATCTGTAAATAGTGGATTTCATATTACTGGGAGGTAAACCAACCAATAGAAATTGGTGCCTTTATGCTTGGATATTATGGGATATAAACCCAAAGATATCGATATTCTGGGATCTAAAGTTCCAATAAACCACTAAAATTGGGAGATGGTGGGATAGCAAGTTCCGAGATGGTGATATAAAATGTCAATGATGGGATAAACCAACAGGTAGAAATAGGTATGATCGGGTATGATGATGGGATATAAACCCAAAGATGATAGGATGATGTTTAATTGATGGGATAGGTATAAGATGACGTTGGGATCAGCAATTTATAAAAGATGTTCAGTGATGTTTAATGTGTTTGATAGGGAGGATATAAACCCACGCATTTTCTGAGGATATAATGTGATGGGATATGGTGAGATATAGCATACATACATGTATATTGCTCCAAGTTTTGGATATCTTATCAGGAAAATGGATGGTTTAAACTTTAAACTGAACCATGGGATGTTGTTGCTTTCCCCAACTTTTGAAACAAACGCAAATCATACCCTCTGGTAATTTAACATAGCTATGGAAAATCACCATTTTTAATGGGTAAATCCACTATAAATGGCCATTTTCAATAGCTTTTTGTATGTTTGCCAGAGGGTAATATTGGTCTTCCACTATCCCGCCACATCCCCATAATATCACCAGTTTTCCCACTGATAATCCATATCTTGCACCCAACAAAATAGGCCCATAGGCATAGCCGAGCCGCATCCAAGACCCTCAGAGCACTTCGCACCGAGAAGTTCTCTCGCTTGTTGGGGCTGAAGTGTGCTCGTTCCTGTTCAGATGAAACATAACCCCCACTCGGGGGATGCAGTTGAGATTACTTCTATGGCTATAACCTTATACTTTTAAGCCTCAAAAATCTGGGATAGCCTATAACTTAGTTCACTGGACCTGCACTTCCAAGCAGTGAAGCCTCTTTGAACAGATTCTATGGGGAATTCATCCAACTACCCTCATGACCATGGGGATTCAGATTCAACCCCCAAAAAAAAGGTGACCCCCCTAATCATAGATGGATGAGATTCGTCCTTACTATGCCATTATTGGTCCAAATCCGTCCCCAGGTCTCCCCGCCCCGGCCTTGGCAATCCGCTGTCGCCATAGAAATTGCCCCTTGCCTCGCGATGGAGCTTTGATGCATTGGCAAGCTGGAAAACCTTATATAAACTTACTGGTGCTGAGTAGGGAATGAGGGAATGATCCATAATCACTAGAGTAATCATCATCCCAGCAACCCCCAGCAACCCATCCATTCCCATCCATTCCCTACGTAAAACGAAGGGCCAAGTGGCTGGTGGTGATGTCGTTGGGATTATCATCCACCATCAACCGTTGCGCTCGCCGTTGCAGGCCAGGCCGGGGGGGATCACATGGCCGGGGAGAAAACAGGCTCCGAAGATGGCAAAATCCACAAGTTTTTCACCATGGGTTGTGATGAACTTGTGGATCCTTGCTTTGGAAAGCCATTTCCAGCTGCCTTGAGCTGTGAACACAAGAGGTCTGCCGGATGTTCTAAGATTTGCCCAAGCAAAAGCCCCGAAGAAAAGCACCAAACATCACCAAACGTGTTGCTTTGGAAGACTAATTCCACGTTGATTCTTTTCAGTGGTCCGGACGGTGATCAAGATGTCCAAACTCGGAGGCGGTTTGGCGAAACCTTGCCACTTGAGCCAAAGCTGACTCCAACAGAAAGTCCCTGACAGGAGCCATCAATAAAGTGGCAGCTCTCTTTAGGCACCCTAGCTCATGTCACGCTCCTGGAAGATCAATGAACAGAAAAGTTCAATCCAGGGTCGACAAAGTCCAGCTGTAGAAAAGTAGAGAGCAATTTAGAATTGGACTTATCACTGTAATTTTTGGACCCACCAATGAATCAACTGGCTGTTTGGGCATTTCTCTAAATTTCTAACTCCGCAAACCATCAAAGTCTTTTATCCAAAATACCAAAAAAGCCTTGTTGTTTGGGGATCCCCAAGTTTCGGAAAATGTCTTGTGTCACCGCCACAGAGAAGTTCAGGACCATCCTCCGGTCAAACCACACCAGAACCTCTTGAACATCGGCGCACGCTTTTTTTTGCCTCAGGATTTTTTCGGGAGTCCCATGGTCCAATTGTGCATCAAGCTGGGGCTGTGTTCCCAACTGGCGGTCAAAGTTGAAAAGACCCATGGAGCCCGCTGAATTTGCTTAGTCTTTAGAGGCAAAAGATGGTCCCCTATCTACTTCGGGATTGGTATGGTCTCCTGGGAAAAATACCTCAGTAATCTCAGTAAGCAAATGTGGGAAATGGATTGATCCTAATGCTTCGGGTGAGGAAGAGAATGGATTCAAGAGTTACCCTCTGGTTATTTAACATAGCCATGGAAAATGGCCCCATTTATAGATGATTTCCCATTAAAACCTCCATTTATAAGGGATTGTTCATGGCTATGTTAAATAACCAGAGGGTAATTGTCATTAAATCGCGTCTGCAGTTTCAGCATGAGAGTTGTGTTCAATTCCGAAGAAAGAAATAACATGTTTGATTACAGCGAAGTGTTGCACCAAACACTCAGCTATCAACCCTGCCTAATAATATTGGCAGCCCCCGCAGCCCCCTAGTTACCTAGTTTTGTTGGTCAGGCCCTTATTTCTATCCATGTTTGTTGTTAGCACCTTGTTACGGTTAATCGGTTAGTTGTAATGTAAATCCAGGATGAATGAACACCCAGTGTGTTTTTCTGTGGAGGGTGTCATTGATGATTGGAGTCTTACGATTTTGAGAACCCCCCAATGGGAAAACACGGGGGCTTTGTCAAACTTGGTTTGACGTTAGGCCCGCTTTCTTGCTTGTCTCCCACTGCTTACCTCAGCATAGGTTGAACTTCCATCGAGCCCTGACTGCACAGAATGCCTGAGTTGCCTACCACTCAATAAAATCTGCTTCATCTATCTATTTCGATCTATTTGGTCGTTTTTCTTCGGTCAATTTTTGCAGTATCCAAGATCAAGTGATCAAGTTCTCATCTAAGTCTCCCATTTCTTCCAAAAATCTACACTCTTCCCAGTCACGCAGCGAACCCCAGAAATTCTCCCAAGGCACTCGCAGATTTGCGGATGCTTTCAGGACAAAGGTCCACCTGGCTGAGAGTCAACTGACAAGTCACATATCCAACATCTCTTCGGTGACCAAAAAATCCAAAAAAACTCTTGGGCACCGGATTCTGGAACCATTTGCCATTTAAAAAAAAAACTCAAAAATACCAAAAAAAATTGAAAGCAGTCACTCATGCCATTGTCATTTGAGAAAATGACAGGTACTGGAACCAACTAACAAGGGTTACTAACAACTCCAAAAATCCGTGGTTTGATCTTCAATCATCGCCGCCCATGGAACTTGCTGTTGGTTTCCACCCTGCCACCAGGTGGAACAGATACGGACCAGGCACTCTTTCACCCAGATCTGCCGGCATACACGTTCCTCAGGCATGACCAGCAGGCGCAATACGCAAGGTGGGGAAAACGAGATCGCCAAGTTTGTTTATAGGTTGAAATGTGGTTTGTAGTAGATATATGAGGGTTTCCACCAATGGCTGTACCCCAGCACCTTGCAGAGATCCCCAGAAATGGGATTTGAACCTTCCAGAATTGGAGCTTTATGGCAGTTCTTATTGCGTTTTTGTGAATCCCCCCATTCTCTCTAGATCCTTTGCTCTTCCAAATCCGTGAAACCCATGGCAACATGTACCCAATATCAAGTGCCACATCCCCTGGCCGCCAAGCTTCCCCATCCTGAGCCATCCACCATCCCCGAGCAAAGGGGCCGGCCCTCACGACCTGACTTCGTTGAGATGATTTAAAAAAAAAACCGCTGGTCGTTGGTGACACACCTTGCGAACTGGAACATCACCATTAAATCACCAAAAAAAAACACAAAAAATCTCAGGGAAATCAGGAAATCATCGAAGTTTTCATGGGCCATCTAGACCAAGCAGCAACCTGTTAGTTTGGACATTCACCTGGTCACCTCGATTGCCAGGGCGCAAATGGTCCATGGCAGTTCGATCCGCACTGGCTTGGAGGGTGTGGACTGGTTGCAGCACACCTCATCCCCTGCAGCGACGTCATGGATTTTCCATAGGAATGGCCTAATAATTGGGGGTAGGTTTACATCAGATCACCAACCAAATGTTGAAGGGACAACCAGGGGTCCAAGTCCTGGAATCCTGCAGAAAGTAAAATGCAGCCACTCCTTTCGGATGGCTCTCCTGGCGTGGTTTGTTCATGGGGGTTCTACCAGTCGGCGTTTGGTACTCTAGATGTGCAAGCCAGTAACTGGATCCGTGGGTAATAACATGTAATAACCCACATTCTACCCCACTGAGATTTGAAATATCTCTAATTTTTTATGGAGTTATGGCTTATAAACCAGGTTTTCTATGGGATGTCTAGGGGAGACCCAAGATGTCCAGGCCTTTCTTTTGCCCGAAGTGCCCAGAGCACTTGATCGCATCGGGCATGTCACTCCTGGCATGAAAAATCTCCGAGCTTAGGACCCTGGTTCAAGCGAAAATTGCTGGCTGAAGCGTTGAAACCATCGTTTTTAACCCCCAAATATAGGGGGTGTCCTATGGTTTCCCTCAAATTCTCCCATCATCCGATTCTGGAAGACCGGGGCCACCTAGTTCTCCATCATGGATTCAGTTCCCAATCAACCATCATTAACCGTACCCACAGGCCCGTAGCCTACCAGCGGTCCCAAGGTCCCAACACCACTCCATCACTTTACCGAGGCGCTCAAACATGGGTTTCCACGCTCTTTCCAGGTAATGCCCTGCTTCTGCAACGCCTGACTGCGAGCGATCCACCACCTTACCATGCCTCTTGATGTCCTTGATTCAAAATTTGAAGTCCCACGACCCAAGACCCTCCAAAATTGGAGGCTCCAAACGATCATCTTCCAAAATCATTGACCTTCCACAAAATTTCATGGTGATTGAACCGACCCCCCCCCATTGCGGTGAGCTGCCCCTAGAAACTTGCCTCTGGGCAGTTTTGACGTGCATGAGCTTTGGGGGCTGATAACATCCTGGTTGCGTATGAAATTTTAAGCCCCACTTTTTTTTGGTTCAACCCCAATTACGGTTCTTCTTGCTAGGTCCCCAATTCACTTCCCAAGTTTGTTGCTTCGACTGGAATTCTTAGACCTTTTTCTGAGTTCAGCCCCGGGATAGCCACCCCCCAAGTCCAACATTTGCGGCCAGATCGCCACATGGTTTGACCCAGAGAAAAGCTCTGTTAGATGGTTGGATTTCAATAGCTATTTCACCCATCAATAGCTATTCCAATAGATGTTTATTCCAATAGATGTTTAAGGATTTTTAAAGATCTATACCGTCTATACCCCATTAAACCATATTAAACATCGTTCAAAATCATGAAACCAACCAGATCAGCTCTGACCTCTGCCCTGGGCCTTCATGTGCTTTGGAAGTGCATCGCAAAATCTCACGCAGCAGCCGTTCGTACATCGACCTTCGTTCGGTGACCGGATGACCCTATGACTTGGGGAAACTAAGCATGGCCATACAATAGTTGCAGTCACTTCAACTACCAAAAAACTCTAATAAAATTAAACTTGGTATGGTGTGATTTATCAGGTAGTGCCCCGCACGCGCCGGGGCGGAAATTTCGAAAATAGAAGATGACTATAGGAACGAGTTTGTTTATAGATAGTATTTGTTGGCGAAATGGAAAGAAGTGAACTGAAATTAATGAATTGAAGAAAATGAATACAAGATTGAAATGTCAAGCTTTACAGACTGCTTGGCAGTGTCACCCGGTCGAGGCTTTGGTTGAACTCCTAATCTCTGTCATCCAATGCAAACTCTTCCTCAGCCTAACCCAGGATCCTCGTTTTAGAAACTCCAGGCAGCATGTCATGGGTCGCTTGGAACATAGGTCACCTTCATGGACCCCACAATACCCCACCCTTGCCATCGCGCTGCACGGGGCCCACCTCCTATCCCATTGAGAATGCTGACGTGTGAAAATAGCATTGATTTTAATGAAAATGGATGAGATTTGTCAGTGTGGCTACACCCGACTTCAAATCTTTTCTAAGTCAAATCACATTTTTCGTACCACAAATCACTGAAAACCTTGCTTCTGAAATTCTGAAAATGGTTGAACTGATTCTCATCCCCCTCCACCAACAAAAAACACTCCCCAGCATCCCAGTGGCTTGGGATATTGCCGGATCCGTTCTCGCGACACCGCGAAGATGGGATTGTACAAGACACCCGTGTGCCTCGCTGGGTTTTGTTGAAATCAGAACGGGTGGAAAAGGATTGGCTAATTGGGGTCAAGTATGGTTTCTGATAGATATATTACATGATATATCTACAGCTATATACTATGGTTATGGTTTCTGATAGATATATCTACAGCTATATACTATGGTTTGTGAACCTCTATAGTTCCTTGTGTTTTTTTTTCAAGCCAATCATGGCAACCCAACGCCATAAACCTACCATGACTGGGATGGTTGAAATCCCACCCATAAAAATTGCGATTTTGGGGATGGTTTTTTATTGGGTTTACCACATTGGTGAAGATGTTGTTTGTCTCGAGATTGGGGCCATGAATCACTGATTCGTAAAGAAAATGTTCATCCATAAAAATATGGAATGCTCATCCAAAACTGTGGGGGTCTTCTCCCGTTGGGGATGGTCGTCCGGGGCACCTGAAAAGTTTGGAGAAACAAAAACAAGAATATGTGTGTGTTTTAAGACCTCTTTTTCCCAAGAGTGCATCGCTTGATAGCAAGCAACTATCATTCTTCCTAGTGTGGGTTATATCCTGTTACGCTCCAAAAATGTCGACATACCAAGAACTGATGATAGAATATATATATATATGTGTAATTATGTATATATATATATATACATAATAAATAAGTGAAGAACTGACAGCATCGTTACACGTTTTCACAACACATTTTTCGCTGCCAGGGGGCCGAGCTTTCTTCAAGGACACGTTGTAAATGAAGGTTTCGAACCACTTCCTAAAGAGCTCCCAGGGCGCCCATGGGCTCCAAAAAAATAATGGATACCCCCAAAAAAGCCATTGTTTTTAGTGCAGGACATATAATTACTGAGAACACAAATTGTTTTCCTGTTGTTTTTTTCATACACTTAGAACACATTTCACCTGCGCGCAAAATGTACCCTATCTGTTCTAAGTGCGCACTTAGAGCATGTTCTAAGCTTGCACTTAGAACAGCAGCGGAAACGTGTTAGAACACGTCTTATAGATTCCAACATGTGTTCTAAGCGTATGTCCGTAATTATATAGTAGTCATACAATACAATTCTAAGACATATAATATTGTATAGGATATACATATATATATATATATATGTGTCTATATTTGTATACATATACGCATATATAGTAAAAAAGACTCATGCAGAAACACTGCAAAGCTGGTACATCTCTTGCACAAAGTGCATACCTCTCATTTTTGGGTTTACCACATTGATCGTCTATATATATATATCAATTGATCCCTCCTGAAGGCTGTACCAATCCTCATATAATTTAAATTACCATAAATTACCGACATACACTTAGAACACATTTTGGAATTGAGTTATCCCCCAAATGTGTTCTAAGTGCCTCTTAGAACACTTGTTCTAAGTGTATGTTTGGGCTGGTGTTCTAAGTGCACACTTAGAACACATTTAGCTGCAGAATGTGGAAATCCTGTTTTCCAAATAGTGTTCTAAGTGTATGTCTTACACTATAATGGGAAGATGTGGGAAAATCTTGGGAAATCAATCGAAAAAAATGTGTCCATGTCATTTTCAGATAGGGAAAAAAAAAGTGGGGAAACTGATGACAAACATATTGGATGCTCGCTGACATTTTCATGTACCAAAACCCAAAGGAATGCTTCTGACACGGTGACAACGTGAGCTCGAGATTCGTTCGATATATGAATTGTCTCAAACAGCTTCGCCACAAGTTCGCCAGGTTTACATCAGCCCATGTTTGAGAAAACCCGCAAAGAATGGAGTTACAGTACACAGGCGCGCGATATCCCAGCGCATGTCCATTCTCATTGAAAGATTTGGGTTTGCTCAAGCCATGGCACAAGCAAATGCAATGGTTTAAACCTCATGTTCCCTATCCAATAGCCATAGAGCAAGACCTTTTCCAGGTATCACACCCAAATCATGTCAAGTTGGTCAATATCCTATCAAAATTCCAAGAAATATCAGCATTGTATCCCCATTAAACCTCCATTGCATCACCATGACATTTCAGACTGGTTGGAAATATACCATTAGGTTCCATATTAAAAATCCCCCATATCCCCTATTTCATGGATCAAAACCTACACCAAAAAAATAAGGGCATCTCTTGAGAGGGATGATCATCCAACATGTTTCAAGCATCCCGGTGCAGGATTTCGCGACCACAAAAAAAAACAAGACATTTATAACTCCTCCATTTTAATAATAGCTACATCATGGTAAAATCATGGTAAAATCACCACTGTTTTCATCTCTTTCTGAGAGGCCCTAATTTTTTGAAAATGCTGAAGTCATCCGAGGCTTCCCAGTTGAATCCCACCCCAGGTGCTATCAAGCCTCTCCAAGGGCCTCACGCTGGCCCTACAGGAGTCCGTGACAGTGCCACCAGCGTGGTTGCGGTAGCGATCTCGGCTTGGCGTTGACAAAGAGCAAAGGGGGTTACCCCCAGGATCCCCTGGAAAAAATCACCGATTTTTTTTCGGTGGTTTTTTAACTTCCCCATTCCCACATGCGTGGTTTATGACATTGTTTTACCCACAAAAAAATACATTTCGGGGGTGAAACATAGCACCCAAAATCTGACCCTAGGTAAACTATGGCCACGATTCAGGGATAATATATGATAATATGACCCATTTCTTTCCCTTGCGGCCCATAGATTAGCTAGTGGCTTGGAGCGTTCAACCTGTGGGAACTCAGCCGCCATTTTTTTCATGGGAAAATTCGATGAAACCAATGAAACCCCTATGGGACAGTTCACCGGTGTATGGATCAATCCAACCAACTAGATATATATATATATATATATATAAAATATGGAGGTTCTTAAAATGGATCCCCAAAACCATAGGCTTCAATACCCATATTTTTGGACACCTCCATACTATATATATATACATAATCATATGGACTGATCCAGAATTAGGATCAGAAACCAACCATATGTGAGATTGATCCAAGAAGACAAGGATTTAATGATCAAATATGTGGGAAATTACAGCAACAGCTATATCTATATCGATATCTATATCTATATTTATATATCTATATCTATATCTATATATATATATGGATTGTAATAAATTGGGAATTTTCACAAAGCAATGCCCAAAAAAGATGAGGAAAACATATATAATCAGATTCTGCAGTAGTGACGAATCAAAGCAGTTCTGTCTTTTTGAGGGTTACTTTATAGCCAACAAAAAGGGGATTTGACAAAAAAAAATACATGGTATACCGTATACTTAAGTTGAGCAAGTGGGATACTGTGATACTAGTCAATCCCCAGTGTTACCAATTCAAAAACCCCAGTTCGCGCCTGTTCCTACACGTACCAGGTGACACCCCGCTTGTGACATATGGGTGCCAATTTTGGTGGGTATGACATGGTATGACAACTCAAAATGGAGTAGCAATTGGGCAGCAAATGGCTGGCTTGTAGTTCTTAACAACCATCCTAAGCCTTCCACCCCGGACATTAACTAGTCTTGAGCCATACCCATCGCAACCCATTCACCTGCCCCGAAACACCAAGCCCCACATGAGGATGTAGTTTAACCTATGAAGATATTTCTGCACAGGGTTGCGACCTAGTGAATGCTCCTACTGACTCATCAGGTTGCAAATTCCCTGTCGAATTTCATGGCAGCATGACTTCCACAGCCAAAGGCGCCGAGTTTGAAGTATCCTGCGAGAAAATGGAATCCAGATGAATCCAGCAGATTGGAGCGAACATCCGGGAATTGGGTTCACCTGGGGAAAAAATTAGGAGTACCCTTTGGTTATTTAACGTAGCTATGTAAAATTGCCCATTTATAGCTGACTTATGAGGATTTACCTATTAAAAATGATGATTTTCCATGGCTATGTTAAATAACCAGATGGTATATACTCCACTCCATTCTCAGAGAACTTCAATTATGATCCTCCCGGAAAATCCCATCTTCAACTCTGTGTGCCACAGCCATGAGATGCAGAAGCTGCCGAAGGCAACATCACTCTTGACCCACAGCCAGTAAATGTTGTAGTATCCCAAGATTAGTTGGGAAATATCAGAAAATCTCTACTGCCTAAGTCCACTTTTCCCAGACTTTCAATCCCTAAAACTCTTCCAGACCCATCTGCTTCCCTACATTTTTCTAAGTTTTCAGATCCAACTTTCGACTTTTCTTTGAACAGCCTAAAGTTGATGCGGAAACAATTCATGTCTAAAAATCATAGGATTCAACTTCCCAGGTCCCCCAATGAGATGGCTAAGTTTGATAACCCCTAGAGGTCCGTCCTTCAAACTCCATGAAACTGTCAGGCTTCTGGTGCGCCATGGTGGCAAAACCCGAGAAGCTCTGACGCTTCTCCGGGCTATCCAGGTAGCTCAGGACCTCAATGGGACACTGGGACTATAATGAAATCATAACGGGATTTTGCAAATCTAAGCGCTGGTGCAGGATTTCGCAACCATCCACTGTATGATCTTGTATTGGTGCAGACATATGTACATCCCGAATCCCATTCATATAGAAAATGTGGATGTAGACCAACAAAAATGAAGAAATACAGTAATCAATCCAATTCTTGGATGGTGACCATCAAGCTTTCTGCTTGGCCATGCTGAGATTCTCCAAGAAACGAAGTTCAGCTTACGACACTTCAACCAGTGCCAGCCGTTGTCGTAGATGGATCCCAGGGTAAAAACGCTGATGGGTGCCAGCTCATCGTAGAAGTGGGTGATGTGCGTCAGGTACCTGGGGTGTTTTAGTCGCTCCCGGCAGGCTGTCGTTCTCGTCGTCCCAAACATCATGTTTAGTTTGATTATGTTTGATTGAAGAAAAGATCGCAATGTCAAATTTGAGATAATCATTCTTCTGCATCATCACCACAAGAACTGGAATACAAATAATACAACAAGTGTGGCAAAGATTCTCATCATGATAACTGATCATCGTTTGCTTCTATTATTCATCATCGTCATCGTCGTCATCATCATCATCATCATCATCACATCATCATCATCATCAAATGATCCAGCCTTTCCATTCTCCGTATCTTGAAACTCCAAGCGGCGCATATTCCTCTCCACCAAAGTTGTGGATCCGCAAACACCGAGGATCCTGCAACCGATCGCCTGCCCAGCCGGGGTTGCTGTGGCTTTGCTCGGTGGTTGACCGTTTCGCATCCGAAGAGTTAAGGCAAAATTCCGACATCCAAAAAGAAAATCCATATATATGTATTTATATATATATATATTGTATATATAAACCATATAAAAATAACCATGTGCCAATGATTTTCGAGAAAACCCGTCGAACATTGGCACCCCAGCGCCCCGACCAGTCGCACCTTTGCAATACAGTCGCAGGGCATAGCTGGAGGCCACAGGGGCCATCATCTCATCGATCCAACCTGGGCGACAGATTTCGGGTTTTGACCTCCAAAAAATGTGTTTTTATATGGTTTTTATATGGTTGTTATATGGTTGTTATATGGTTTTGACCTCCAAAGTGTCTCAAAAACCATTGAAGGATTGGAAAAATGAGCATTGATGGAAGATTGAGATCCAAGTTTACTCTGAATCATGTTCTAGAATCAAATGCCACTTTTCGACCCGAAGTTGATAAAATTAACGGACCCCCACAAGCTTGATCAAATTTGATCCTTCTTCCTTCAGCCAATGTTCGGTGTCAAACTTGTTGAACCATAGCCAGGATAAAATCTTCAGATTGTGAACCTGTAGGTTACCTTCGTTTTTAGGAACCACCAGTGGCCCGCTTTATCCCCATTGGCCCTTTTTACCAAGAGCCTGCAAAAGGCTCTTCGGACAAACAATTTCCTGGCAATTTGGCGATTACAATTGCTTTGCCCTCGGTCGAAAACAACGTGGAATCCCATGTGTCTGCAAAATTGTTTGCAGCTCTTCAACATGTTCCAAAAGTTTTTTAAACTTATACCCCATGTTCCCCTTTTCTGGGTGAAAACTTCTGGACCAGCCACTGAGGTCTTCAGAAAAGGCAGCTATGACCAGATCGATGTCTGCCGTCTTAGGTTCTCGTGGAGCCAGGCTGTACCTGGGGCCGACGCCACCGGCGTCCCCTTGTGCGTCGCTTCTTCGGTGGGCGAAAAAAACCCTTCAAATTTCAGGTGAAGGCTAAGACTCAAGGGTGCGAAAGAATGACTGTCAGAAATCCCAGTCCTGTAGACTTTATTTTTGCGACAGCACCAACCCTTCAATTTCAACTTTGGATCCAGGATGCCAAATGATCTCCGGATCCCCATCGCTGCCAGGCGCTGGCGCCAGCACTGGGGCTGCCGTGGCCGCTGGCACTGGTGCTGCCGGCGGCACCGCCGGCACCGACACCACCGGCGGTGCGGGAGCAGGCATAGGGGGTCCTGTTGCGCCTATGGGCACAGCCACTCGGGCCCATCCGGATCCCCTATTTTCGTGCGAACCCATGTATCAACCATATACCAACGATGCAAATTATTTGCCATTCTACCATACAACTATGTTATCAAACATACTGCCAACTGCACTATTTTTTCTACTGTATATATATGTATATACATATATTTTTGTATTATTTATGTAGGTATGTATGTAGGTATGTATGTATGTATGTATGTATGTATGTATGTATGTATGTATGTAAATATGAATAAATATATATATATATTATGTGTATCTTATATATATCTATTGTATATATATATTATATATATATATTGTAGATATATATATATATATATATATTGTATATATTGTATATATTGTATATATTGTATATATTGTATATATTGTATATATTGTATATATTGTATATATTGTATATATATATATATTACATATATTGTATATATATATTGTTTGATATATATATATTGTATATATATATATTGTATATATATATATATTGTATATTGTATATATATTGTATATATATATATTGTATATATATATATATACTTATTCATATAAACCTATTCACACATATACGTACATATACATATTCATACGTCAACTACACTAATCCTTTTTCTCCCTCCCCAAAACGCCCTCCACGGTCCTGTCACCACGACCTCTGCCTCACTTGGCTGAAGCAAGGCCGCTACGTTGGCCGACGCAATCTTCGGCCTCGGCCTCGGGGATGCAACAAGGTGAGGGCCCCTCCAGTAATGTTTGTTGCCGTGGTAACTATTGGTATAATGAATATCAACCCATTCTGGTTGGTGGCTTCAAGCCCTCTAAAAAATATTAGTCAGACTCACTTGTTCATGAACGTAAGAGAGAATCCCTCTTACTTTCTAACTGATCAGAACCCAATCCAAGAAACCGACGCGCCTGAACAGCTGCATGTGCAAAAAGATCCTTTTTGCGGACGCTGCTCAGGGCATGGGGCGAGCAGGTCACTGTCAGAGACACTGATCAGATCATCAGATCAGTAAGATGCATAAGCCAAATGACCAGGCTCAAAAATAGACTCAAACCAAACAACGCTTAAACACAGAGCCTTTCACAGGCAGGTCAAAGCATGTGGTGAGAGCAAATGAAGTTGAGCTTAGTCACTGACCCCACCGAAAAATGTGTGGGCTGGAAGTCCAGCCCACCCTCATTCACGAGGGCGGGCTGGGTTGGGTGATCAAAAAGAGCTGTGGCCTGACTGTGATCACTCGTTCTTTGTGCCAAAATGGCAAACGACCGCATCGAGTCCTTAGTGATCACATCAGGACACTGCACTTGGTATAAAATAAAAGGAGACTCCATATATATATATATATATAATAAACTCGAGAGAGATATTATAATATATATAGAGCGCAAGGGAAACGATCGAGTTAGAACATGCATCATGAGAGTCAGCTGCTTATCCCAAACCTACCTAACCGTTGATATGCAACCGACTCACTTGTTCATGAACGTAAGAGAGAATCCCTCTTACTTTCTAACTGATCAGAACCCAATCCAAGAAACCGACGCGCCTGAACAGCTGCATGTGCAAAAAGATCCTTTTTGCGGACGCTGCTCAGGGCATGGGGCGAGCAGGTCACTGTCAGAGACACTGATCAGATCATCAGATCAGTAAGATGCATAAGCCAAATGACCAGGCTCAAAAATAGACTCAAACCAAACAACGCTTAAACACAGAGCCTTTCACAGGCAGGTCAAAGCATGTGGTGAGAGCAAATGAAGTTGAGCTTAGTCACTGACCCAGGCCCTCTCCTAAGTCTCAAACAGAGCCTTCGGCCAGCAGGGGTTCACTGTGATCCAGCCTGCGGCCTCGCCTATGAAAAGTTTATTTCTTGATGGCCAATCGGCTGGGTTGGCATCAGTTGAGATCCGATCGATAAAAACTCTCACTCGGAGCTGAAATGCAAGATCCCAAAATACAGATATTAATTGACAGAGATCCTCTCGGCTCGAGTAGCCTTTGATCAAGGCACCTTCAACAGCCTCGGAATCTATGAGCAATAAGATATCTGAACCACGGATCCTATCAGCAAAAGTCTCCAGGGCTAGAACAGCTGCGACCATCTCAACAGGAACAATCTGAGTCGAGCGCTCAAGCCACCGCCTCTTAACGGCTTTGGAGACAGCTGACGTGAATTGCATAGGCCGTTTCAAACGCCTATCAAAAAGAACAGCTCCTACACGATCAGGCAAACGTTCCTTCTTCCTAGGATCCGGCGTGAAACCATCTGTGAAAATCACTGCATCCACTAGTTTAGCTGAAGCTGATTCGATCGGCCTCGGCGGTCCCTCATTGACCAATTTCTTCCAGTGGAGCAAAGACTCGAGCAGAGGTTGATCTAGTTTGAACTCACTACCGATCGGGAAACGAAGGTATTGGCGCTCAGAAATGACCCTCAGAAAAGCTCGTCCAACTTTTCCCCAGAGCTGAGAAGCGCCAAACATGAGCTTACCTTTCAACTTCCCCGCCGAGCCAGGGTCTAGAATGCCTGCCTTCACGATCGCTTCAATCTCCTGGGTGATCTCTTCTCTCCGCTCAGCTTTGATCTCCAACTGCATCTGATCAAGGTTGTAAGTCACCCCTAGGATCGTGGGCTCTGTAGATAGCTGCAATTTCTTCTGATCAAACTTCGCACCTAACCAGAAATGAACATGTTCAGCTACTGCACGAGCACTTCCCGCGATCGCCAGAGGTTCAAAACCATATTTGTCGTCATAGAAGCTGAAAGCCACTAAGCCGAACAGCGAGACCAAGAACTCGTTAATGGCCGCCGATCGGCGATTGTAGTTGTATACAGCTGAGACCAAGCCAAATGAGTGACCTATCATGATGAAGAAATTGGGAGCACCAGTCTTCGGATTCTTCAAGCAAATAACAGAGAACTTCCGGTGATCAGGTCGCACCGCTACTTGCCGATAGGCTTTGCGCTCGTCGAGCACCCACCCTGCCAGCTTCACGCCAGGCTTGATCGTTCTCAACTTGCGCAGAGCTGCGACATTCGTGTCTGTAGAAGGCAGTTGTAGCTTCTCCGAGATCCGGGTGATCTGATTGATCATGTTTGTCGTGGCGCTGTCACAACCACGAACTTTATTCTTCTGAACAACTTCGAATCTCTGAGTTGGGATCCAATCGTCGCACCCAAGAGCTTTCGTGACCTCCTCTTCAGACACAAAGGGGCCCAAGCACGATTTCTCCTCAACATCTTCGATCGATGCATCCCAAATCTTCTGAAGGTTGTCAGAGATCTGTACTGATTGAACACGTTGGATGATCTTCTTCCGAAGAACCCAGGCCCTATCCAATGCGTCTTGCACCGGGATGTCTTTCTGGGGCTTATTGTAGGGAGGCCATCGACCAGAGCGAGCGATCTCACCAACGATCGGAAAACCGCGCAAGAGAAAAGAGGGCAATGACTGATCCACCGAGCCGCACGCCATGAGCATAGCCTCGTACAATGCGACGTGGCAAACTTGACCAAGGCGCGGCACGGAAAGGTCGTCAGTGCCAAGGAGCAGACGCCGCAGATGGGGATCGGGCAGCGCCCGGATCGCCGCCACTGAGTGGGGCAATAAAGCCACTGCCTGAGCATGCCAAAATTGTAGCAACCGCGCCCGCTCAGCCATGATCACCTCAGACGGGCGCCGAAGTTGGAGGACGGCTGCTTCTTCCATCGCTGCCAGAGGAGCCTCGATGGTGAAAGGGTGGATCACGTTCAAGGCCGCCTCGATCGCTTGGCCAGGTTCCATCTCCACATGCAACAAAGGCTTGGCCGCACCCCGCTTCAGCTGATAACCCGCCCAGAGCGCTTTGAGAGCCGACTCCTCCTGCTTGTGTCCGAGCCACGGTTTGCAGGAGCCCACTTCGCGTTTGCGATCCGCAGGGGGCGTGGTCAGCTGCAGCGAAGGTTGTAGAGCATGAAGAGGGTCTTGCCATAGATCGTGAGCAACGCTGGCGAACGCCGCACACAAAGCCCAAGGATAGACCTGCGCAGCCTTGGTCTTGAACACCAGTTTGCCCTGAAGGGGGTCGAACACTTTGCCTCTCAAAGACTCGTGCACGTGCCCTCCTGGACAAAGTACCTGGAGCACCTCGAAATGTTCAGCTGAGCACAACAAACGTGTGGGCTTCTTGGACGGAGCCCCAAAGGCACATTGATCAAAATCAACAGCCAGAGCTCGTGTGTCGTGGACGAGCTGGTCCATCATTGTCGTAGCCCACATGAGGCTCAACAGGGGGTCTTCGATCGTGAAATTCCCTCCAAGATTAAAAACAAGAGTACAAGCTTCGCACGTTCGGATCAAAAACAGATTACCCATAAAAACAAGAGCTTGGTTTTGCCAACTGAGTCCTGGAAGACCAAGAGGAGCATCGCGAGAGCGCAGTGGAGGAGGTCCTCCATCATCTTTGCGAGCTGCAGTGAAGGTGTTGCACGGGGTGCCACAATGGAGCAAGAAGACCAGCCTGGCAGCAATGATAGCAATGATTGCCATGATAGTCTCCCACACTGCCAGATCCAACACATCGGCTGCTTCGCTGACCAGATCAGAGACAACCACATCCACTGGCGGCAGCGCAGGCACACCCATCAGCTGAACAGCCTCTGTGATGCCTGCTTGGCCAGCAAAAATTTCCAGGAAAAATGGGCCATGCGAGCGCAAAATGGTGAAATCTTCGGTCAACTGGGACCAACCAGGCACAGTGAACGGCTCAGAATCAGCCGTTTTCCGACCGGACGGCGCAGATGCCGACAAGCCATCATAACACACTGTGGCTGGACAGCTCCATTGACCGGGGGGCGCTTCCAGTGAGGCCCCCTCAAAGTTGGGCCGAGCTCAGTGGTTGCCGTGCCACGGGTGATCTTTACCACATTCCACACAGCTGTGCTTCTGGCGGCAGTGATCACCAAAGCGGCAACCCAGTGAGCAGTTGAAGAAAGGGCATCGCTTGGCTCCTTGATACTTGAACGAAGTAATCTTCTGCCATTCGTGGGCCGGGACCCGTTCATCTCGAGCGGGTTTCTTGGCCTGATCCGACTTGGGAGGTGGCGTTGAGGCGTGACCAACCTTAGCTTTCTTGAGCAAGGCCTTCTGGCGTTCACGACGAGCCCTGTTCTTTCGAGCTTTGGGTGAAGCCTTTGGGGCTGACTGCGAGCGAGATCTGGAGCGCTTCTTTGACGGTGTAGATGGCGCCGTAGTCTGCAGCACCTGCTTGAACTTGTCCAACTCTGCGCTTGATCGAGCGTCATTCCACAGCTGTTTGTGGTTGGTCAAGACCTCAAGCAAGGCGGCAGAGAACGTGCCAAATGTCTTGCGCTGATCAGAGCTCACTCGATGAACTTTCTTGCGGATCAACGCATCAGCCGCCAAGAGCAAGGCCAGGCCACGGTTCTCATGGCGCCACTCCTCCAGATCAGACAAGTATTTCAGGGGCCCGGCTGCCACGGAGAACTCACAGATGTTCAAGTATTCTAAGGTAATGAAGAACGCATGCAGTTTGTCCATCACCTGAGATTCTGAACTAGCCGCACTAGGCTGATCTACCATCACCACACGCAAGAGATCCTCTGCATTTTTGGAGAGCCCAGATTTCTGAGCGATCTGCTCATTCCTGGTGCGGATCTCGCCGACTTCGTAGAAATGAACAAAGCCGTGCACCAAGTAGTCTCGTTGAACACGTTCGACAAACTTCCGATGAGGCTCTCGATGCATGGGCAAGAGCACGTCAGGGTGACGAGCCACGAACGTGTCACGAAACTCAGCATGATCTTCGCCTGGAATCTCTGGGACCTTGCTGGGGTCTTCTTCCATTTTGGCTCGCCGAGCTGCGAAGTGATCTTGCATGGTGGAGCACTGCTTCCAGACGGCCGCCAGAGCTGTAAGAGCAAGCTCCTGCGCCGGCGCATCATCGCCGAAACGAGCAGAATCTGGTATGATCGTTTTCAAGGTCTGCTTGACCGTTGTGATCGTGTCCCCCAGCATGGCGAACGTTTCCACGCTGCGGAGACCCACATCAGCCACGAGCCGGCACAAGTCTTCCGGAACTCGTTGCCGACCAAAGATCTGCCGCAATGGGAGCTCCGGCAACTTGTCCGGGGTGTACACGGTGCGATCCACCATGATTAATTGTGTAATAGCTTAGAGCCAAACTGAGATTATCATCGGAAAATGCAAATTGAAAATCATTGACAAAACAAATAAATCACCTTCCAAAAGCAAAATTGCAGCTGAGACTCATGCCCGAACACTTCCGCTCTGAGCAGAGAAGCATCGTGAAGCCACATCTGGTCGAGCTTTGGCACACTGCTTGCAGAGCACGGAAGGATCTGGCAGGGCGGCCCCAACGGCAGTGCAGTCACGGACGGCGAGCTTGCCACATGCGACCATCTCATCGTCCTCCTCTTTCGAGCAGTGATATCGATAGTCACGGGAGGCACGAGCGCCTTCCGTCTTGACGTAGAACTGCACCTCATTGAGAGCCGTCTCATCTACGGAGTCGAGCACGACATCCTCTTCAGCCTCGAACGGGTGCTCATTGTCAACCATGTCTTTGACCAGCTGTTGAACCATCTGAGCTGGTACGCTGGTCCGGTTCCTGGTGTATTTCAACACTAGAGGACCCGGATTTTTCCAGTTCGCTTGCAGTCCGATCTCCTCCGTCGATCGACGAGCATGTACTGCAGCGTCCAACATGGTGACCCGAGCTGAGTGGGCTGTGACCTTGAGCAACCCGTCCACGGCCTCATTGAGCTTACCCTCAGGCCCACTAAAGTAGGTCTTGATGGCGAGCTTGCCAATGAAACGCAGCCACTGAATGGAACGTTGATATTGAGCTGGTGCAGACCTGAACTCCGTCTGGGTGTTCAAGTCTCTCATCCAGAAGTCACGATCCAAATCTTCGAGCTGCAAAAGGTCCCAGCCAACGTCAAGCCAGGCTGAATCACGAAAGCCAACTCTCGGCACTACGAACTTCGTGCCACGGCGTTTGCGCTCGACTTTCGTCTGCCAAGCGACGCCAAAGAGCCCTTCGTCTTTCATGATCAACTCAGTTGGCCTGACATGCATGGCATCGTCGAACCTCAGCGATGCGAAGACCATGCAGAGCCACCACCATGCAAAGAGCCTAGCTGCCTCTGGCTGCTGCACGTCTGTGACGAACTGCTCCAGACTTCCGACCGCCACGATCGGGATGGGCTGGGCTTCTTTCAATGTGGTGGCCCTTTTCTGAATGACGTCCGACTGAACCGCCAAGAGAGCGGGATGGGACAAATCAGGGCAGTCGATCGCCAGTTTAGATGTTACCCACTTAATTGACATCCTAAAAGAAGGCAAAACTGTGGGACCACATTCTTTCTCGTCAAGAGCTAGAGCATACTTCAGAATCAAATCAGAAGACAAAGGAAAAACGGGGATCCCAACACTATTGGCCCACTCCTCGAACCGCTCCCATGCGGAGATGTGGGCCGACATAGTCCGTGGAGCCCCCGATGCCAACACTAATTGGCGTAGCCGAGCGGTCTCACCCGGCGAGAGCCCTTCGCTGTTGGTGGTATCCAGCAAGAGCTTGGAGTGTTGACCCGCCCGTTTCCCTATGGCCTCCAGTTTAGAAGCCCACTTCCACCGAGCGGCATTCTCCTGGTCCAACAGCGGTGTGGACGTCGGATCCGAATCAGACTTCTTGAGCAGTTTCCTGGGCGGTTGAGCCGGCTTGTGCAACAGAGCTTTGATGGCATTAGCCCTACGAGCACTAGCGGTCTCGGCACTCAACGCCAAAGTAGTCGGATCGCACTGCCCGAAACCCAGCTGATTTGCAGAGGATTCGAAAAATGCCTTCTCGATCGAAGTAGCTAGACTCCAAAACTGTTCCAGCATAAAACTGTTGCTGAGCAAAACATCACGAACGGTCTCCTCTAGGGATGCTGACCAGTCGTGCACCTTCACGGTGAACTCCGGGCCCGATCGCACCTCCATCGCTGACACCAGCGCCAAGTTGGCATAAGGTGAAGCCAACAGCGCCTGAGCGAAGGCATCAGAGAAAATTGGAAGACACAAAATCTTAGATGTCCAGCGATCAGAACTTTGAGCCATGACTTCCCTGTGAACCCCCACACAACATGAACAGTGCACACATGAGAGTGTCCAGTCGGTTAAGAGAGCAATCATTGCACCTCGAACCTTAACGCCTCAAAAGCATGAACATGCAAACATGTGTGAACTACTGCATGAGGTGGTGTCACAGGCGTGGCGTCAAAGAGCAATTAAAATCAAATGAACGAAATACATCAACTTGTATCATGCATAAATCGTGACCAAAATCATAAATGCAAAAGCTTGACAGCTTTATGTGGTCGATCGACCAGACAGAGAAAGATGACTGACCAGAGCTATGGAGATCATACCCCATATCGGAACAGTCGCTCTAACATCACGTCCGGTCTGAGATCCCACAGCCGAGCAAACTGGGGCCCTCGCCTGGGCCAAGTGGAAAATATGGGAGCCGTCCCCATGAACGAGCTGGATGTGATCAAATCCCACCCGTTCACAATTGTGGGGTCTCACAGAGCAAACACCTCAGAAATTAGGTCCCTAGGAAACCCATTGACCCAAGTTAAACCAAACCAAAACGGGGAAAAACCAGGGTGAACAACGGGAAAACAAGAGACCTAAACTGAGGGTGTTTGCACAGCTCTCGCAGCAGCTAATGATTTTTCAGAGCATTCGGCCAGCGATCGTGCTGCGGCCTGATACATTCCGCCACCTTGCAAACTCGGTGAATTTCAAACTTCTTGATCAAGGTCAGGTCTCCGTCACTTCTTCAACGGTCGGAGCCGGTCCAAAACTGACTGGGCGTCCCGGGACCGCCTGATACACCTGATCAAGAAAAGTTTGTGGCGTCACGGCTGCCACTGAGATCCTCTCTTGTTGGCGAGCTTCAAGCGATCGCCTTTGCACATGTACCGAGCCTCCCATGGCTCCCGAGGCTGGGGCTTGACCCGGCTCAGTCATGGAGACTTCGGCTTGAACATTGGGCGCCACAACCAGTGCAGGAGCCGACGGTCCAGCCAATGCTTGCAGAGGGGCCGCAACTGATGATCTTGGCACCACTGATGGCCCACCCGTCACTGGTGGGAGCACGATCGTCTCCTGTTCCAGAGCCACATTGTGCGCCTGCAGAGCCAGTGCATCGGTTGGCACCAACGACTTCGCTGCCCTGAACAAGGGAGACTCACAGGTGAGGTGATAGTTGGCCGGGTGAGAATCCACCGCGACCGCACTCACCCTCGGACCCGTGTCATCAACGGACTCTGCTTCGATCGATGCAGTCCAGTGTGCATGGATCCCGGCTAGCTGTGACAATTGCATGGTCTGATCAGGGCCTTCCACCCTTGCATGATGCTCACGACACCAACGAGCATTCTTGATCAAGGTGGGCCCAGACACACGCGACACAACCAGCCAAGTTGATGGAACCACCACCTGAGAACATGCAACGTCCAGCTGATCACCGGATGACCTGAATCGGAACTCTAAGCGGTCTGCATCCATCCCGATCGAGTCCGTGGAAGAGAGCGCAGTGAGCCGGACTTCAAAGTGGCACAAAGGAAAGTCCAGGGCCACGACCGTCCCACCATCACTGCAGGCGTACAGACGCCCTCCCACCTCGAACGAGGTTGCCACCACCCTCCATCCGTGGAACACCGTGACGATGCAGGACGGCACAAAAAGGCAGTCCCTAAGGTTCGCCATGAGAGCATCATTGACGTAGTTCATCTGAACCGTCATGTCAGTGTTCGATCGGTAGCCGCGCAGCTCAAGGTGTAGAAGAAGACCTCCTTCAACCTTGACTTTCACATCGACCCAGGTTGCAGATTCGTCAGTCATCATCGGCCAACGAAAAGGTTGAAAGGCCGGGTGGGCCATGATCTTCCCCGTGTCTGCATCCCAGCGAGCTGCTGGCACCGTCCCGTAAGACGTCATTGATCCTACCAAGATGAACTTGAACCCGTCCATCGTCCTCACATAGAACAAGTTGAGGTGGTAGCCCTTGTTTGGCGATCTGACAAGTTGTCGATCGACCAGGACGTTCACTCCAGACTGGGCGTTCAGCAAGATCTCGTCCAGCAGCCATCCCTGGTAGGGGGACTGAATGCGCCGATCGCGGCTATCAATCACAAGCACTGATCGTTCATCTTGGCCAGCACCCAACTGCCTGATGAACGTTGGGAGCTGGAAATTCTGAGCATCAAGGCCAGGCATCTGTCCCCACCTAACTGCACGATGACCACGCCTCTTTGCCTGAGCTTTCGCTTTGCCAGGCGAGCTGCCTGCTTCTGAGCGCTTCCAAGCAAATCACGTGCTGCCTGAGTAGCTGGAGCAGCAGCACTTTGAGCAGGGGCTTGAGCAGGGTCAGTGAAAAAGAGAGCCGCATCAGCAGGTGGGAAGGGTGCACTTCCGCTTGAGCTTGACACACGACTCTTGGGTTGATCCTGTCCTTGGGCTGCATAGCCAGGAGCCGGCTCACCTTGGTGTCTGAACCCGGGCGGTGGTGCCTTAGGCTCAGGGAACTGCATTGGCACTTCCTGAACAGGCTCCACATTGCGCTGTTCATCCACGACCACACTCCAGGACACCTGTGAGGCACTGTCCTCAGGTGCAAGGTGATCACCTCCAACACTGGCTCGAGCAGCTGCCATGGCTCTCTGACGTTCCAATGGAGCCGGGCGACAAGGAGGAAAAGACATACTTAAGTGATCCAGTCCCAGGCCCTAAAAACAGCGATCCTCTTGATCAAAAAGAGCTGTGGCCTGACTGTGATCACTCGTTCTTTGTGCCAAAATGGCAAACGACCGCATCGAGTCCTTAGTGATCACATCAGGACACTGCACTTGGTATAAAATAAAAGGAGACTCCATATATATATAATAAACTCGAGAGAGATATTATAATATATATAGAGCGCAAGGGAAACGATCGAGTTAGAACATGCATCATGAGAGTCAGCTGCTTATCCCAAACCTACCTAACCGTTGATATGCAACCGTTGGGGTTATGATTCCGAATATATGGAAAAATAAATTAGCTTCGGTGGTATCCCCAACAGCCGCAGCATTTCAAACTTC